ATATACTCTCGGACTAATTACTTTTCCATCCCTATCACCGTTTCTTAAGCAGTAGATCGTGTGTTACTTGCCAGTTGGATTATTTTGACTCCATTACAGAGCCTATGGACGGTGAAAATTTACTGGCAACAATGTAACTGGAAGCTAGGAAGGCATTCGACAAGGCTCCACATACCAGACTCCTGTCTAAACTCCAATTTTATGAGATAAATGCAAAACTCACCAGATGGATAAGTTCTTACCCCAAAGGGAGACAATTATTTTTCGGAGTTAACTACCATTTGTATAAATCCAAGCTGATAACTGGCGGTATCATTCAAGGTGAAGTCCTCGATTCCACCCTATTTCTTCTACTTCTAAATCAAAGTTTCTGCTGTCGACCATGGAAAGCCATACTTATCCGAAGAACGCGCTCGCTTCAAAAAGGAGAGTGACATTTTTACGTTGTGAAGTAACTTCCGCGTAAATCGCATCAGAAACTTTTGGGTTTACTTTAACTGGTTTAATTAATTGAAGTATTCGTTTTGTGCACTTTCGTGGCTTTCTGTCTGGTTTTTATACCTCTCTGTCCAGGGATATATATATTCGTCTGTGTAATTTAAACAACTTATACCGACATGAGTCTCACCAATAACTGTGGACGACCAAACTGCCACTTTCCAGCGGATGACAGGACGCAGTGTGATAATGCAACTTTTGCTTTCACAAAGTTTGTTCTGGCTTATCTCCATCAGCTTATAGGAGATGCAGCGAACCAAAGTCTCCCTGGGTGTGCAAATTTTGTAGCAGCCCGATGGACGCACACGTGCAAGAGGCAGTAGAACTTCCTGTGTCCAAAGGATTGAAAAAATCTCAGTTGAGGGGAAAAGGCCAGCATCTGGAACCTATGTCAGGAATGATGCTTCTGGAATGACTCATAAGGCTGAGACAAAACCAAATCCCCAAGCGGTAGACACAAGAGAGGCAAAGTATGTCCAAAAGTCTGCAACGGCACGCAAAAGTCACAAAAATCTGAGAGGATAAGCAGCGCCATCGTTGTTTAGGATTCATGCTGTCGTACAGAGTTCAACAGCCGCTCGAAAGCGAATATACCTGCAATCCATAATGCAGCAACCCCAACTAAATGGTTTGTTGATACACACCAGGCTGCCTAGGAAGCTTGATTTGGATTTAAGGAATACACAAGATTGCGTCACTGCAACCCTTTTTATCCTAGTCTACGCCTCGAAAACTATCGCATGAACCACCTTGGATTAGCAGTGAAATAAGGTTATTAAGAAAACGAAAGAACTTATTGGACCGGTATACTGTGACTAGAAGGGATGAGTTCCGCGTGGAATACCGCAAAATTCGAAACCTTTGTGAGTATATGATTGACAGAAGCTGTACAGGGTAGAAGAGGTAGTTAATACTTCGTTGCGTGCATTAACCAAAAAGATTCTACTGGTGTATTTTTGATGTAGGACAAAAACTAGCAGTGGTATACTGTCACTTATAAGCAATACTGGAAAGACAGACGAGTCAGACGAAAAACAAGCGGAAAAGCTCTCTGAATACTTTTGCGATGTCTTTTCTTCTAATAGTACCACTCAGGGGTACAGCGAAGTATCTGCTATAGCCAATAAAATTCCCTCAATTGTGGTAGGGAATGCGGTGGATCTCAAACTGCTTTCTAAAATGAGGCCAGGTAAATCACCTGGCTCCTTGCATTAAACAATATACATTCCACTTACGATGACTTTTCAAATGTCCGTGACCCAAGCTAGGTTACCTAGGGGAGAACAGACAGTTAGTATCTGACTACCGGCCTGTAAGTTTAACTTGCATTATAGCAAAGGTATTAGAAACACTCATAAGGGATCAGCTCTCGGCTCATATGGAGAAACATGGCTTACTGGCGATGGAACAGCACGGATTCCAACCAGGACGATCGTGCCTGACAAACTTACTGCTAGCTAGGGAAGATTGGGTCGAAGCCAGGGATATGAACCATATACTGGAAGTCGCCTTTATCAATCTCGATAAAGCATTCGAAAAGGTATCCCATTCAGGTCTCTTTATTAAACTCAAGCGTGTTGGATTTTCCCGACGCTTATGTGAGCGGTTTGGCGACTACCTGATGGATAGAAGGCAGAAGGTAAGGGTTAATGGTGTACTGTCAGGGTGGAAAGCAGTACCAAGTGGAGTATCTCAGGGAACTGTACTTGGCCCTCTGTTATTCCAACTATACTTAAATGAACTGCCAAAAATCCAAACCTCATCTTCTTCACTATTTGCCGATGATATTGGGATATGGAAAACTAAATAATAACGATGATAGGTCGGTACTATAAAACGATCTAGATAAGTTAGCTGAATGGGCTAACCTCTGGAGTCTGTAAGTTAATTCCAAGAAAGGCTCTGTAATGCACCAAGGTCAGAGGTCTTACGCGTCGTACTCCCTAGGGAACACAGAACTTCTAGATGTCAAGGGACAAAAAGACTTTGGAATTATTACAAGCAATGACCTAAAAACAACGGCAAATTTTAATGGAGATTTTCGAATGCTATGGGCACTTCGAGGGGCTTCCAAGCGATTAGACTTGTATATGTTCCAAGCACTCTACATAGGGTATGTCAGACTTCATCTAGAATACTGCATACAAGCGGTGAGTCCATGTTTCAAAAAGGAAGCGCGTATCCTGGAAAGAGTGCAGAGGATAGGAGCAAAATCGACTATTGGTATCTCACACCTTCCTTACGACAAGAGAATGGAGCATTTAGGTATCTCCCCATTATCATACCGAAGGCATACTGTATTTTAGAGGGTGATTTAGGGATTGACCTTTCAAATTTTTTCTCTCCCTCTAGGATACATTTGCGAGGTCACCACAAGAAGTTGCTCAAACCGAGGCCGTGTAAAATACGTGTGGAATTAAGATTCTCTCACAGAGTGGTCAACGACTGGAACTCCTTACCTGATTCAGTGGTAACAGCTCCATCGATGAACGCTTTCAAAGAGAAACTAGATCTCTGCAGATGTGTATATACCGCAATGATTAACATATGCACCAAAAGATAACCCGTAAGTAGTATGTAATTTCATCCATAATTGCATGAGTGTTCAAGGTTAAGCTGAACACTGCCTACAAGTCCAGATGATTAGATCGAAAAGTGCCTGCTGACTTTCAATCCAGACAAATGCGACATAGCCTATCTAGAACTCTGGAGACCTAGAATGTGCATGTTTACCCAGAGTAACCTTTCACAGCTAAAACGTTTCTGACCGCGGCAACAAGGTATTGCCTGTCTGTGAACGAATAACTTGCTCCCTGCTGCGGAAGTTCCACATCTCAGAAATCAGATCGGTTATTACGGGACAGGTATTCCTCCCAAACTTGAATACTGTCTTCTACTTTGTGACAGTCTAAGACCAACCTGCAGACAAAGAGTCAAAAGCATTTAGGAATTCCTTACGTAAAGTGTAAAAGGGTTTGATCAAAAAGTGGAATATGCTGACAGATTTATTTGACAAAACGTCTGATAAGACAACTTAGCATATCTGCATTACCACATCCCTCATTATCACCTCTGACTTAACCATTACTTATATTGCTAACTGCTTTTTTAATTAATAATACCTGTGTGTGTTACAATAAGTTTCATCTGTTGAAGCGGCTTATAAAGTAAACACTTACTTTCCTCGTTTGTACCCTCTGCTCTCTTGGACTATGGCTGTGCAGAAACAAAACGTCCAGTTTACGTAACATTTCACCTTCATTACGGTTAGAGTAGAATTATTATTTAGACCAAAGTGGCTAGCACGATATATGGAAAACTTACATTTATAATTCAACTTTGTATAATTCCCTCTCGCATTTTTCCCCTAAATGCACAGACACACATAAACTACCTTCATCTTTATTTTTCTTCGGCTTATATGTTTCCCAGAACATGCGACTTCCCCAAATAGCACGCAATCACACGTGGGTATGGTACTGATGTGGTTGATGGCTGAAGAAATGGGTGTTCAATGTTAGAGGAAAAAAACATATGGAAATCAAAACGCCTTTCGAAGATAATTCAGAGGCCTAATACACTTAGGACCCTACCTTATGACTCGTTAAAGATGGAGATAGCAGGTCCTGATACTATCGGGGTGATTTCATAAATTTCGACACCTTAGTGGCTGAAAGGTGAGGAAATGTATGAAACCAAAAGTGGGGACTGTGATTTGTGTTAACCAATAGGTGAAATATTCATTTACGTTCTGAAGGCTTGTTTAAGCCATGTAGCTAAATTCAGTTAGTCATATCAGTTTGCATCATTTTACATTATTAGCAAGAAGGAATGTCGTACGAAAACCTAAGTACAGTGTGGTGTGGTGTCAGCGAGGGTACTTAAATTTGTGACTCCAGTTTCAACTGGTGTTTGTACTGGAGAATTAAATATCGCAGTAGTTCACTTTCCCTGTTGAAATTGGGAAAACTGTAAAGCCAAACCACTCAATCGGGAAATTTACGAAGGTTGTATAATAACCAAGGCCTTACCAGGTGACATATTGCTTTCTGTAATAAGCTAATGTTCCGCTGTTTTAGAAGGAGACTTTCGTTTAGTGCTCATTTCACCCCATAAGGAGTAATCATTCCGAATGTAGAGTAAAATCAAACATCACTGAAAAGGAGTGGAGAAAATAGCAAATTTTACAAGGTAGAAGTTGCGTAAACTACAACAGAAATTCTAGAACACTGCATTAAATAGTGGAAAAACTAAACATTTAGTGCGAAAAGTGTTAAAACAAGTGTAGTTCAGAAATCCAAATGACAAGTGATATTGCTTATTAAGTGAACATATTTTGGAAACCTCACAGTTCAATGCCAGTACACCTTCTTTACTGGTGTAACTGGCTCATGTTTTATCATTGGCGATAACATATCTCGTTTCATAAACATTAAATCGGCCAATATGTAGGTCACTTGCAAGGCCTTTACAAGGCGGCAACTACGGAATTCTTCGTCGAAATGTCTTCTTCACTGTTATTCGATGAAACAGCTTATGAGAAGCTTTCTGAAGTCAAAAAGCCTATATTTGTCTTTGATTGGCTGTGTTCTTTAGAGACCCGGTTGTTGACCGAAAACAAAACTGTCATCAAAGAATGCCAAGAAGATTTAGTGCAGCAGTTGCTATCCCATTTGACACATGCACCTGGTCGTCCAACACACAAATTACTTGGTCGTTGTTTTGCAAATCTTTTCTTGGTTGGGGACTCTCTCCTCCTTTACACTGCAGTTAACACATGCAACGCGCTTCTCAAAAGTCGTGAAGATGGACCTGCTTGTATCAATAGTCGACTAGCCGCATTGAGCTGCCTTGGAGCGATATATAAACGTCTCGGACGAATGATTGGTCGTACTTTTGAAGACAGTGTTATCATAATGGCGAAGCTTATCAAGCAGGTAATATGCTTTCCACATCTGCAAGTATTGTTTTCAACACTATTCTAGTGGCATATTAAGTATGGGGTAGTTAAAGTACTCATCACTTATAGTGCAAAATATTTGTAGCGTTTAAGTAACACCGTAAACTGATTCTGTCTTTAGAAGAAGGAAGTCATGTAAGTGTTAAAACCTTAATGTAGTTAGCACTGTAGATTACGCCTAATTAAGTTTATTCACTTTGTAGCAGATCTCATTCTTAGTGATCTCTAGGCTCTATTTCGTCAGATTGTAAATAGAGATAAAGGACAGAGCTTTCTCACCACTTAGTTTCCATTCAGCTAGGATATCCCGGTGTGCAGCTGTTCAATTTGTTTCCTTTCTAGCATATGTCGTGACACTGTTATTTACTACTCCAGGTGCTGATGGCACTCAATTTCCAGGTTAACGAGACGAAGTATACCTCTGCAACTATTCTTATATGCGTGTCCCAGTGACGCGGTCTTCCTCAGTTGGGAACTTTTTCAAAGTTCTGTGCAATCGTGCTTGCTTGAAAAAGTTAAAAATTTACGGAATTTCCATCGTGAATATGAATGTATAACAATGGTGACCAATCTTATCTAACTTTGCTTCCTCAAAACAAGAAGGTAGCATTAACTGATACACCATTCCTCTGAAGGCAACACTCTTTGTATTATAAAAAACGACCCTCACCTAAACCCTCATACTCCATTTAGCCTTCACAGCATGTTAGGATCTCCAGAAGTAATTGTTCTAGCCATTGTAGCTCATTCGGCCATTGCGATATGTAAGCCTAATCATCCCACCAAGACGACGTCAGTCAGTTAGGAAAATTCATTCTGATTTAGCTTCCACATGGAAACTCGTTCAATAATCAATTATCAGTCATGACTGCTATGCAACTTGCAATTTGGGGGTAACAGTTTTATTCTCATGGGTATTTTCTCCTTAAGTCAGGGAAATTAATATGTTGCTATCGTCTTCTTGCACTAATTTATGGTATCATACTTCAGTTCACTAGTGCAATATAGCAAAGTTGTGCACTTCCATGATTTTTGGACTTTGTGGTCAGGAACGTCATAGTCGTAACGTCTTAAGGTAGTTCTGTAGTACAACCGAGCGTATTATGATACGTTTGTAGTCAGTATTCAATTAGTGATGTTATCTTAAAAAACCATCTGTAATGATGTAGATGAGTCTTACGCACACCATCTATTGTCTTCTGCTCTTTCAGTCTTGTGAGGAACTAAGTGAGGACTACTTCATTATTCAGAGCTGTGAAATGAAAGATATGTTGTTCAATTATAATAGTTAGATGTATCAACATGTTTTTAAACAGGGTTCAGAAAAGTGTGTGACTATGACTCAAAAGCTGTGGTAATTTTAATACAGTGTCTTCGCGTTTTAATTATTATTATTGGTTGTATTCACCGACCTTCTGTGACATTTCATGTCTTATCAACTTGTGCACATTTAAACAAAACGCCATTCACCATTTGTCGTGCATTTCTTGTAGCCTATGCTGTACAAAGTTTTCTTTAAAATTATGATGAATAAAAATTTGCAATAAAGTGAGTAAACCATGAAAGTACTTATTGGGTTATTGCTTTTCTTTTGTAGTCTGAGTCTCAAGTTCGCTGTGAAACTATGAATACGTTTTGCAGTTTGATTGAAGGCGTTGGTTCAGCTAGTGCTGTATGTCATAAGGAAATATATAAAGCAGCGAAAATCTGTATGACAGACCGTGTACTTTATGTGCGTGTTGCAGCTGCGAAGGTGGGTATATTTTGCTGTGGTAGACTTTATTTATTCTGTATTTTGCACTAAATGTGACTCATGCATATGAGCCAGCATCTGTGTTGTTTGGATAAATGCAGATATACTGGGGAATATTTGTACCTTGACCTTATGTTTATCTCAGTTACCAGATATTATTTCATTATTGACAGTTTGAAAGCATCTGCTTTTTTATCGTCCATCAATAATTTTGTTATTTGATAGAGTGTTTGGTGACATTCTGATGGTAGTTTTTCTTCAGAAATGTTTGATATAACAAAGAATTTCAGAGTACTGAGGACATAAGTGGAGATTCGTCAAGGTATAATAATAGGAGGCTTAAATATAAATCTAAAGTGAAGGGAATTAAGAGCCTTCTTTGAACCTGATGTGTCCTCCCACAATTATCAGGATACTGGTTTAAATAGAAGTTTTCACGAGTTAGTATTCAGATAATATTGGTAAAATTTTACTCACTAGAAGACTTTTTCGATAGAACGTGTTGTTTGTAGTCATAACATTCGTCTCATTTGAAGTACTGTATATATCAATTATATTCCAAATGGTCAATGTATTAATTCTATTTTAGAAATGTTCATTGTGTATAAATTTTCTTCTTGGTGAATAGCTTCGCCGTGATTGATAAAGGGTTTTACCTGAGTTGAAATAATAATCAAGTTTACTCGAGTTAGTGTACTGCCTCGCTATGTTGTGTTAATAAGGCTATTGTGCCTTTAAACGCATTCAGTATACTCCTTTATTATGAGTAAATATTCTTTTTTTGCAAAAGCATATCTAATCCAAAATAAATCCGTTTTGTTTTTGTTTTGTTTCTTCTTCTTCATTCTTTAGTGTCTCTACTTCTTAGTAGATCATTCGCATACAATTCATACCAGTGAATTAGAGGCCACAGTCAGTCTATGTCTTCGATGCATGGATGGAGCTAATTATGCAACTCGTATTGAAGCCTCACGAACTCTTGGTCATCTATTGGCAAAAACTCAGCGTAAAAAAGTCAATGATCCAGGATCTGATGCATCTAATAGTGGTTCTACTGGAGCATCGAGTAAGTTGACACATGGTAGAAACAAAAATATTTTTTTTTCAACCTTCACGCAGTTGGGGAGTTCTTCTTATATCATCATTATCACTAGAGCATGATTCACTTTGTGGTTATTATCATTATTATTGTTTCCTTTAATTCCTAGAGGAACATAGGGCTTCAACCGTGCTTCTCCATTGCGTTCGGTTTTCTGTTACAGTCTCCACCTGGCTCCAAGTCTGCCAACACGTTTCCATCTCCTCTTCACATAACCTCCTCCAAGTCACCCACCCTCGCACTGACGACCAAATCGCCGATTCCAATACAGTCGGGTTCCACTCGAGCAATGGCTTGTCTAGTGATGTCACTCACTTGATGGTTTGTTTCCTCAGAGTATGGCCAGCCAATCCATTCCATCTCCATTTCTTCCTGCCTGCCTATTTGTTTCACAATCGGTTCCTGCTGTGTTGGTTGGTTCGCTCATTGCCAGAGATCCCTCTCTGTTGCTGATCTTTTCTGGCTGGCCATCTGATCTTGAGTGGTATTGAGCAAAGACAACTGTTAATGAACGTTTGTAGTTTGTTTGAGATGCTGTTTATGACGCGCAGTGCAGTGCAAGTCTCTGATCCATCCGTATAGTGAGTAGCACTGACTGACTTCACATTGGAGTTGAAAATCCGGATCTTATCTTCGTTTTGATACTGAGTAGGGCTGTTGGCCTCCACACAGACTTGAGAGTAGTGAAAGCTTGTGGTGGTTATGCAGAGATGTAGTGAAGTGATTTTTAGAATCTCCGGTAAATAATATGGTAGTTCTCTTTGTCTAGGATTTATCTGTTTTTAGATTTAGGAAATGTGTTTTTTTATGAAATAGTTGTTGACAAATCTTCTACATTCTAAGTTTGTTTGGACAAGTTTAAAATTTACACTTCTAATAACTAGTGAATTAACGTTTTTTAACAGATGTTAATTGTCCGCTTATTCTACAGTATTCATCTTGGGTTTTTACTGTTATAGTTAAGTATTTGATCTGTATGAGTCGATTTTCTGTATACTTGAGTTTCTCATTTTCCTGTGCTTCTTCTCTTGACCAAGATGTTTAAAAATGGAACTTTGTCTTCACAAATGTGTCATCCACGTAACGTTTAGTGGATTTTCTCCATACCTGTTTTAATTTTATCAATGTATAGTAGTGAAAAGGAACCATACATTAATTAATACAAATGTAGGCCACTGAATCATGCATGTCATGATAATCAACCGGAAATGAATCTATCCCTAAGAAATCGCCGACAGTGAATTTGATCAGCTGATTAATATTCTCTAGTTACCAGTCTTTCTTTAGTTATCACCAATCTCTTCTTGAAACAGTTTCATGATCACATCTAAAAAAATCAGTGTTCATGTGTTTATCGAATTTAAAACAGTCTATAATTAGATATTTTTATGATGTAAATGAATACTGGACGTTCCAAGATAGCTGCGTAGCATACTAGCAGCAGGTCACAGTAAGCCTGTCTAACGTTATATTCGAAAGAAATCGATGTATGAGGGTTTATTAAAAAGGTGTATCATTCCCGGAAATAGCCTTTATTTGGAGATAAGATTATATCGGGTGGAAATTCGTTTTGCAGGTCATAATGCCGCAACTGATGTAGAGTTCCTTTAGTGTCACAAAATACTATCATACTATGATATTGAACTGTTTGTATCTAAAAAAACTCAACAATTCGTTAACGTTTCAACTATCTTTTCCCTATCTAGTAAAGATCTAATATTTTTTAAAATATGTATACACATGTACAGCACTGCTATTTAAAGAAGGCTAGATCGAGGACGAAACTTTCGAACTATGATTGACTCGGATTGTCAATGTTTTCATTGCTAATTTCTCTCTTGAGATAAGTGTATCTGAAGTCAGCTCTGTGGAGCTCCTTCTGTCAGTCAAATAGTCCTATGGACAATATAAAACCTTATTTGTCAGTCTTCAGAAAGGTGTAGTCGTTTGAACTTACTCCAACCATCATATTTTGTTATCAGTAAGTCATTAAGTGCACTTCACTGTTGGGTAAATGCTCTTAACGGTTAAGAAAGGTTTCAATGTAGATTCTGTCACGCACCAACATCAGTTAGAGAATCAGTGAGTATTAGATAGCTGTTTTGTCCTAGTCTGGGACTCTTCATCGGTGCTCACGAACCCTGAGTTTCCAGGGTTTCACAAGATCAGCTCATTGACCATTTAACCCCTGGACCGAATACATGTTAAAGTATACCTTGAAGTGTTCAAATACAAGCTTATTTACATATCTTGAGTTCGAATTCGGACAAAGTTAAACTTTCGACACCAGTAACAACCAATCAGCAAACGACCTTGAACAGACCAATCACATGAAAGAGGCGTTCATGATAAGTGGAAACGTATATTTATAGAAAAATGCATAAAAAGAAAGGATAAAACGGTTACAAGGGGTATCTTTCCCGAACATGGGACAGAAACATCTCCCAATTCAGCATCGGACTGTCAATAGAGAAGTCACACCACATTCTATACATATATTCATCTAAATGACTATAAATGAGATCCTTTTGAGATCCATTTATAGCCCGTATCCTATTTTTCAATCGACCCCAAAATCCTTCAATGGAATTTGTATGAGTCCCTGTAACTGAATCCACGAAATTACTGGAGTCGTTCGCCCTGTGATGAATGTATCCTAGGGATGACAATGAATTATAACCTTTCGACTCGTCGGTATGTACGATTGATCCCCGTTTGACAAGTCGCGTTATAATAGGTATCAGAGTAGTCACCTTCCTGTCTGCTATTCTTTCAACAAATCCTTTTCGAAGGGAAGTGTTGTATAAACCTATGACCCAAATGTTGTTCGCTCTCTGAAGACCACGGTTGTATTTCTTTTTCACCAACACAGTCTCATCCACATGCACTACTACGTCTTCTCCACCCAACAACGAAGTGATCTCCATTTTCCAAGAAGCAATATCTCTGCAGTGCTGGTACCATTGAACTGTTGAGACGAGGCTGTTCTCCGTCTCGGCAGCTGCGGCTCTCACCGGCTGTTTCAATACCCAGTAGTTGCAGATATACAAAATCTGGGTTAGGGAGAGATGTGACCTAGCAAAAAAAGTTCCTACGAAATATTAAAATTCGCAGCTTCCAGCATATTCCACAACGATGGACAAATCCATCAGTTGACCTGGTATAGCTTTTTAGAGTCATTACACCACTACACGACGAACAACTTCTCTCCTTACGAAGCAAGCCTAAGTCCAGGCAATACTGAAAGACACTATCCTCCTCGAATTGCAAACGTAACCTTGTAAGGGCACGCATTGGAAATGAATCAAGCGCTAAACAACATTGAACTACGTTCTTGAATCTCACTGGATAATTCGACGTTGTTCCCTGATTGGTAGTTACTGGTGCTCAAAGTTTAACTTGGTCCGAATTGGTTTTCTCTGACTTCTTTTTACGAACCAAAGTGTTCAGCAAATTTCGTCGGTGATTGCTCTAGTCATGATGATGTCAAGAACTTTTTATCGAATTTATTACCAACTACCTGATCAGTTGCAAGGTATTTGCCGTATCGAGAGGGCATCTATGCCATATAAATTCTTTCATTCATAAAATATAGACTACATGTTACTGACTGAACTCCAGCTTTCTTTTATGCAACTAATAACATTTAAGTTTCTAAACGTTGAGACGATGTATTCAATTTTGTCAAACATGATAAAATCTAATCATAGATACATAAAGCATTTTAGGACAAATTTATGTACGAAAAAGGTATACCGAAAGGCATTTACAGTAGTAGTTGTCTTGTCGTGTCATACAAAAACAAACAACAGTTTGTCCAATACCATGGATATAATAAATAAATAAATCCGTCATAGCATAGAATTCATTTCAATCAGTGTGATATTCACAAACGGCTTATAGAATGAAATGAAACTGCATTTGTCTCTATGCTGTTTTCTTGTTAATACAGCAGAAATGCTTAAGGAGGGGGGATTTAAGTGTGCATACAAGCAGAACAGCGATATTGACACTTACAGATGTGACAGTAGTAGCAGCGGCGGTATGCACTGCACTCAGAGAAGCGGAAAAAAGCCTGTTATACTAGAAAATTCAACTACATATCGAGTCTACTTTTCGATATGCCTTGACATCTTTATTGTGCACATTTCCGTATTTGTGTGTGTGTGGGTGTGTGCACGCTTGTGTGCATTGACATCAAGTAGGATGAATAAATGTGACTATTACTTTGTAAGCTATATAATAATTATTACTACATGTGTTTTGAAATGAGGTAAAAAAAGTATTTGTAAGAAATTATATGCTTAAGGATGTGTCTAAATTTAGAAATTAAGTCTTCGTGTAATATACTATTTATTATTACATGACTTTAAATCGTTACTATACAGTTTTTTCTACTAGTTGAAGTTGTCAAATTTTGACAAGTGAAGGTTTTGTGTGCATGTGTGTGCGTGTGTATGTGGCTTTTTGTTATAAGCAACCCAACTTTCATGCAGTTGATTTTAGGTCCAAACCCATTCTACTTTCTTCAGTCTAATTAATCGGTCAGTATACTAAGCATGATGACTCAGTGTACTGCACAGGAAAGCAAAAAAAACTGATGACTGACTGACTGTCTGCCTATCTCTGTCTGTTTTCGACATAGAACCCTGCCTAATCATCGCCTCCCCCTTGACCCGACGGGCATTACTAGCTAGCTGATATATAGGTGCAGGTTGGAAAATAGTAAGTGGTGGCCAAACAAAAACATGGATGGCATCAATCAATCCATGAAATCCTTCCTTGACAGTTAAACTGAGTCAAGTCAGGTAGAGAGATGCAGACTTCCGGGTTGGTTGGGGCCCACCCCCAGGACTCTAAGAATCAATCCATGGCTGGAGACAGACAATAGGTGAAATGGCTCAAAATCCTTGTCAATGGCTTACGCAGATATATTCAGTCTCTGTAATCTTCAGTCTCATATTCTTTTCTAGCATTACTCATTCTGTTTCACTCTTGTACTTGTCAAAACTCAATTGATTCTCTTCACTCATCTTCTTGTCTTGTCTACCTTTGTGTGGTATTCGGAACGTGGGAACTGGAACTGCTGCACTTGGGTGCCAGGTTCTATGTTGAATCCAGACAGACAGACAGATGGGTCATAGCCGCCTGGCAAATGATGAAAGACCTGCTCTCCACACAACTGAGTCCAAAGAAACAAACAAACAAACTGGGTTGTATCTTTTACTTGTTGATTCATAAAGTGAACTAATAAATAAATTATGTACACTAGATTGTTTAATATTCACTTTCGCTACTCTCATATTCATGTTTCTCCACCACTTTTTTGTTTTCTATTTACCTTTATCTAGGTAATTCACGAAATAAAACTGTTACGTTGACAGATGCATTGTCATTATTGTCTTCAGGATTTTTGAAAGGTCCAGGTGGATTTTTAAAAGGAACCAGTGCTACTGATATGATTAAAGGGACTAGTCCAGTGAATCGAGAAGTTCGTGTTGGTGTGACCTATGTAAGTGTATAGTAAATGTATATCTATATGTGGATAGTGTTTATACATATATATATATATATATATATGAATAGACCTTGACTTCGAGTTTAAACCTATAGAGCATTCATTTACTTTATTATTGTCATTATTAATTTTTTATGGTCGCGTCGGTGGTATAGCGTTTAGGACGCTCGCCGACCATGCATATGGTCCAGGGTTCGATCCCCGGCCGACGCACTCCTTTATCTCGCTGAGCCAGAAATAATGCTGGTAAAGACGGAAGGTTGGGCATGAGGCTAGCAACCTCATCCTGTAAAATAAACACTGCTACAGAAACTTCAAGCCACTAGCTTGAAGCCCTATGTTCCACTGGAAAAAAGAAAAGAAAAAAATGGTCCTTAAGAACTTCCCATATTCAATTGTTAATGCCTAAATGGCCCACCAATTAAAAAATAACTGTCATGCTTTTGTGTGTAAAGTAAAAGCTGACATCTTAAGACCCCCTGTATACGTAAAGGTTGGAAAGGTATATCGATTGAAATTGCTAGGACACGTGTTGTGCATGCTAGTCGATTGTTTACCTTCTTCATTGAGCAATATTAGCAATATTAACATAGGATTAGGTTGGAAAAGGGTAAAGGTGAGGGGTTAGACCGAAACCTGGCATGCGATTCGGCCCTGAAAAATGCAAGATGATGTTGGAGGATTGGACTACACAGACTCCTAGTTTAGAAATAAGAAGTGAAGTGGTAGAGCACGTTGACCGCTTCACTTACGTGGGAAGTACCATCAGCCCCAACGGGTTGATCTCTGACGAAATCTCAGCACGAATACAGAGGGCCAGTTTCGAATATGCCAGTTTACGCCATCTCTAGCTTAGTAGACGTGATATCCGACTGGCTATCGACCAAAGGAGGTGTGTACTGCTCAACAGTTCGCTCCGTCCTCCTTTATGGCTGTGAGCAAGACCTGGCCATTGAGAGCGGAAGACATGAAAAGATTAGCTGTCTTTGATGATAGGTGTCTGCGTTCTATCTCCCGTGTGAAGTGGTATAATAAGGTGAGCAATACTGAGGTGAGGCCTCGGTCGAGTGCTAGGTAGGTGGGAGGGGAAATCAATCGACGAGACTGTGAAATTACATCGACTGACATGTTTACGACATGGGTTACGAATGCATGCCTAGTCATCGCCTTCCTCGACAATGGGCAATGTTAGCTGATATAGGGTCAGGTGCGAAGAGAGCTAGCGGCGGTTAAACGAAAACATGGCTTCACCAGTCAATGAAATCTACAACAGTTAGTTTAAGCCAGCCAGCCACGTAGGAAGGTGTAGACTGGCTTCCTGACTGGTTGGGGTCCTTGGGACGGTAAAAACCATTGGTTGGAAACAATTAGTTACATAGCTCAAAATCGTTGTGATTTCCAATGAAACTGTTTTGTTCGTCGTTATTACTATTCCTTTGTCTCACACCTCTGTTTACTGTCTGTAATATGCACTTCTCTTACTTTCTTCTCTTGCTTTGTGTGCTACATGAAGGGAGTGTGGCGACTTGAACTGGCGCACATCAGTGCAAAGTTCTATGTCGAAAACAGACAGACGGACAGACAGACAGTATGCTTGTGAAACTTGGCTTTCATGAGCTGAAGTTCTGTGACGAGACTGCTTACGTGGTGATCGTTGTTCTCGTAGAATCGCTTACATCTAGTAGACTTAAATTCTAAGTAATTTTAAAGTCTAACAAGGCGAAGATCGTCTTCGAATAATTGATATTACTTTAGGCTACCGGCTTTTGTGACTTGGGTGTATGCGTTTCACTGTCATTCCAGCTACACCTCCATACTGTTTACTACTTGATAGTCCCTAGAGAGAGTGGCTTGAGAAAGCCAACAAGGAGCCAATTCATCATGACATATCATGGAATGAAGGGTATTTGTTATTATGTTGCCATATGTCAGTTTATCACAACTCTGTGGAATAGGTGCGAGGAGTCAGGTGACTCAATGCCCTTGAGACTTTGGGAAAAGAATTTGTCCCGGAATCGAAATCAATGGGAAAAGATGCTGTAACACACTTAAAAACAAATAAGCTGGTGGAAAATAGTGTCATACTACTAGAATATATTTTTGTCATTATAAATAGCCCAAGCTTTATTCGTTTTCTCTTGTCTTTTCTCTATTTATTGTTCTAGTCAACACACTGAATACCCTTGTGTGTCTGTCTGTATGGGCATTTCCTGTATCAGTTTATTTTTAGTTTGTGTTTGTGTGTGTGTGTAATGTTTATCAATCATCACCTTATGTAGTTAGTTGAATTATCTACATAGCCAGTGATTAAAATAGATAAGGTTACGTTAAATGTTGTACCTGTTTTATCCCTGATTTCCTGCCTACTTCCTGTTTCATTTGTAAACTAGGTTTTTTACTTATTGGCGGGCATTTGTATATCGATTATTATTATCTGGAGAAATTCAGATTGGACATTAGATGCTAATTTGTTTGTTTGTTTGTTTGTTACTAGTTTGGGTTATCTCAACAATGTAAGCGTAGTCAACTCCATAGCAGCTTTTGCTACTACTGGCGCCTAGCTGAGGACTCCCAGTACAGTTCGATACAGTATCTCTGTCTGTCTGGGTTCAACATAGAACTTGGCTGCACCGAAGTGCGCCAGTTCCAGTTGGCACGTTTCAAATACCACACAAAGGTAGACAAGACAAGAAGATGAGTGAAGAGAATCAATAGAGTTTTGACAAGTATAAGGGTGAAACACAATGAGTAATGGTAGAAAGGAATATGAGACTGAATATTACAGAGACTGAATACATCTTCGTAAGCCATTGACACCTATTGTCTGCAACCATGGATTGATTCTTAGAGTCCCGAGGGCGGGCCCCAACCAACCCGGAAGTCTGAATCTCCCTACCTGACTTGACTCAGTTTAACTGTCAAGGAAGGATTACATGGATTGATTGATGCTATCCATGTTTTTGTTTGGCCACCACTTACTCTTTTCCAACCTGCACCTATATCAGCTAGCTAGTAATGCCCGTCGGCGGGTGGGAGGCGATGGTTAGGCATGCACAGCACGTGACCTAGCCATCTCAATCTGTGTAACTTTATGGCCTCTTCTCTTCGACTGATTTTCCCTCTTTGCCCAACACTCTACACCTAACGTCAACATTATTTGCTTACCTTATTATACCACCTAAAGTGAGAAACAGATCGTAGACATCTATGATCGATACATTGAGACGATATCGAATGTTTATTTGTGTAGCGTTTTGTCCTGTAACTTCACAAAGGCATAAATTTGTATTGCTCTCCCTTAAGCTAAAACTGATTTCTCTTGAACTATGTAATTTCCTTGCCCCCCCCGTCCGTTTGTTATTTAAAAGATGTTTGTGTTTCAAACAGTAAGCATAGTTATCCTCCTATCATAACTCTTTGTGTATCAGATTTATTAGATATGAGATTGTCACCTTTCTTTTATGTATCGATCTATGCATTTGCTTTTTTTTTACAGGCTTATATTGAATTTATTGTCGAGATGGGACCGCAATGGTTTGAATCCAACCTGTCAACTATCCTTACACATTTAGTCAATCTACTTTTAATCCCACGAGCTACACCAACTCATGTTGAAGCAATATGCGCACGTCAGTGTATACAATATCTGCTGGGTACTGTATTTCGACATCTTTTATCAGAATCTGTTCAGTTGGTTGCAATCAGTGAACTAGTGAAAATTCTAACATTTCATTTACAATTCTTACAAAATTTACATATGAATGAATATTCAGCGAGTAGTGGTGGTGATGTTTTTTGCCAGCAGATATTCTCTTCATCCTCTTCGTCTTCAACAATTACGCCTGTTGGCGGTAGCGGTGGCGGTGCTGGTAATAGTGGAAGTAATATCAATGAGTCTACAGATGCCTTATCGAATGATATATTCAATGAGACTACATTAGGAAATAATAATAATAATAATAGTACTGATGAAATCAACGGTGATGATTATCAAACCTCTGTTACTGGTACTCATAATTTGGATAGTTTTACTGAACCCGATAATGGGAAAATAAGACGAGCATTTGGACTTCAAAGTTCAACGGCGGGCAATTCAACAACAACAACAACTACTACTGCTGCTGTCGGTAGTAGTAGTTCACGTTCGAACAACAGGGAACAACAACATCAGCATTTAGTTATTTGTGTGTTAGACATCATCAGTCAATTGATACGTTGGTTAGATTCATTAGTTGGTAAGTAATTTTGAAAATATTCCTCTTTTCTACTTCTACTTCTGGTTTAACCTCGCCTAGATTATTAGCTCACTAGTTTTCTAGCGCCAATCACCATCAACGGAAGGGATTTGATGAAAGAGGTTACTTCATTCACTCACTTATCTAGGGAGCATTCATTGTCTCAACTACAGGATGGGGAGGAACGGACGAGGATGTCAAATCGAGAATCGAGTAGGCGAGAAGCACATTACATCAACCTGAAACCAATCCGGAAATCTTCCACTGTCACTCCTCAACATCAACAACAAAATTCGGATTTTCAATACAAACGTCAGTCAAGTCAGTCACTTCTTCTATACGGATGGATCAGAAACTTAGCGGCGGGTCACAAAGAATGAGTATTTCCAACAGCCTGTTGCACATCTTTATCAACAACTAAGTGTCTTCGCTGGCTCTATACTGAAGATCAGATGGCCGGAAAGAACAAGAACCAACAAGAAACAAACAAACTATGGGAAGAAACGAAACAAGAAGCAATCGCCCAACAAATATGCAGGAGAAAGTGGAGATGGATTGGACACTCACTCACTGGCTGAGGAGGCCACTCGCTGGGTGACATCGCGCGTCAGGCCAATACTCGAGTGGAACCCGAAAGGGAAGCGGCGGCGAGTGGGACGTCAGTGCAAGGGTGACATGAAGGAGATCGTGTGAAGAGGAGTTGAAACAGAATGGACTAAGATGGATGCAGGTGAAAAGTACAGAAGAAGACAGAAGCAAGTGGAGACGTGTAGTTGAAGCCTTATGTTCCACTAGGAACCCAAGAAAACAATAATAATACTTCTGTTTTGATTTTAGTTTTTAGTTTGATTACTACTTTTCCAGACATTCCTCTGTGGTTAAGTCTATAGGTATTCTGTAAGTACCCTAATCAGGTTTAACTGAGGTATAAAGACCTTGGTTCGTTTTGGACATTTTGTGAATTGGATATGTGGATAATGTGTTGCCTACCACGCTTTGTGTAGTGCATTCTCTTTTTTAGTCACATTGCACGAACCTTTGAACACTTACTTCACGTATAACGTCACACAAACTGGAAGATCTACACAAAGGGGAAAGCCATTAACGGGAGGAATTTGAAGTCGCCTATACCACTTGTGTAGGCAGTGTCGTTTCACAACTACAAGCGACACAGATGAGGATATCTAAGCCTACCAAGATTGAAAAAAAAATAAGACAAACTTTCATTAATCCGAAATCTGTGTGGAAATCTACAGCACTCAGTGATAATAAAGCAGAAAAAATTGGTTTTTCAACATCCAGTGTCAATCAAGTCAGTTCTTCTGTATGTATGATTCAGAGAATAAGTGCGTCGCCAAAAGCATTTTCAACAGGCTTCAGACTTTTATCAACAGCGCTCTACCTTCTCTTCATGACGAAGACCAGGTGGCCAGAGAAGATAGGCAACAGGGGCATCTGGCAACGAACCACGTAGAGGAGCCTATTGCCCAACAGATATGTCGAAGGAAATGGAGATGGATTGGAAACACGCTGTGGGGATCGTTGAGTGACGTCGCATACTAGGCCTCTGAGTGGAAACCGAATAGGAAACGATGAGTAGTCAAGCATATGGGTCCCGAGGTTGACATGGTGGAGATTTTGTGAGGAAGGGATATAATAGAATATGGACAGTTGTCGAGCTGGTTCAAAAAGATATAGATAGCAGTTAGACGAGTGAAATGGAGATAGATGTTCTGATGAAGCTATATGTTTCAGTTGGAACCCAAGGGGGAATATTGGTAACTGCGATTTACTTGGTAAGAAATTAACAGACTGTGTATTATTATTATTCCCTTGGGTTCCTAGTGGAACATAGGGGTACAACTGCACGTCTCAACTTGCTTCTGTCTTCTTCTGTACTTTTCACCTGCGTCCATGTTAGTCCATACTATTTCAACTCCTCTTTACATGATCTCCTCCATGTCACACTTGCACTGACGTCCCACTCGCCGCCACTTCCCTTTCGGGTTCCACTCGAGTATTGGCCTGACGCGCGATGTCACCCAGCGAGTGGCCTCCTCAGCCAGTGAGTGAGTGTCCAATCCATCTCCACTTTCTCCTGCATATTTGTTGGGCGATTGCTTCTTGTTTCGTTTCTTCCCATAGTTTGTTTGTTTCTTGTTGGTTCTTGTTCTTTCCGGCCATCTGATCTTCAGTATAGAGCCAGCGAAGACACTTAGTTGTTGATAAAGATGTGCAACAGGCTGTTGGAAATACTCATTCTTTGTGACCCGCCGCTAAGTTTCTGATCCATCCGTATAGAAGAAGTGACTGACTTGACTGACGTTTGTATTGAAAATCCGAATTTTGTTGTTGATGTTGAGGAGTGACAGTGGAAGATTTCCAGATTGGTTTCAGGTTGATGTGAATGTGCTTCTCGCCTTCCCGATTCTCCATTTGACATCCTCGTCCGTTCCTCCCCATCCTGTAGTTGAGACAGTGCTCCCTCCTTAGATAAGTGAATGAAGTAACCTCTTTCATCAAATCCCTCGTGTTGATGGTGATTGGCGGTGGATGTTGCTGTTGTTGTTGTTGGTTGGTTATTTTCATACCCTCCGTCTTGTCTATGTTCACCTGGAGTCAGTCCTGTCTTCTCTGGCTGCTTCTTCGACCAGTTTGTCGGTTTTCGCTTGTAGTTTGGTTAAATAACTTGATTATGCATATTGTTTAACTCATAGCTTTAGACTGTTTGAATATTTCCTGCCTGTCTCATTTAGTGAAAAGCAGTGATATTTATTCGTGTTGTGTGTCTCTCTGTGTGTGTGTTTCCTACATATTTTTTGAAATAGTCACATGATAATCGCAAACATAATATTCATTTGAAACTGAGATCCGCCATCATCATCGTCATCATGTGAGAATGAACTACTACTAGTGGGTGGTTGGCCTGTACCATCGTCCTTTAGTCTGTTGATAATTATTAGATATGGAGGAAGAGAAATGATGTGTAGGGGAAGGGATTAAAGTTGCCTTCTTCTTTTTACTACACTATTTGTCTGTCATATCATCTTACAGAGAATGAATGACTGACTGAAGTCGAGATTTTCAAGTACATTCAGTGGTTAATTTATAATTACAAATCGATATCAATATATGCGTAAAACTTGGGCACTGTGGTATTAGTTTGTTCATTAGATATATCACACAGTGAAACAGTATTATTTACTGGATGACGTTTCGAACAAAATTTATTGTTCATAATCATATCAATTGTAATCACACACTTTGTAACTTGAGTTTTATAGTTTTCTTTGTTTTGTCCTATTTGTCGTAGTAGTAGTACCAAAGGAAATCTAAAACAGGAACTGATACACATAAAAGAAGCCTTGCAAATTAATAATTACCCGGATAAATTAGGCAGGAAATATGTAAAGAAATGTAAAAATAAAATAAGTAATGATAGTAGCGATAGTTATAATAACAATAACAATGATAATATTGATAGTAATAATGATAGTATTAATGACTACACCAACAATAAAGAATCTAAACCATCTGTAGTAATTCCATACAAGGAAGGAACCTCGGAAACCTTACGCAGAATTCTTAACAAGGCAGGAATAAAAGCAACTGGCATTCAGTCACCCACAAACTCAATTAGAAACAAGCTTTTTCGGTTAAAGGATCCTGTGGAACATTTACAACAAAACAATTTAGTTTATCTAATACCCTGCCTCCAATGATTGTCAGGTCAAATACATAGGTCAAACTAGTAGAACAGGGGCAGTCAGACTAGCCGAACATAAAAACCTAGCAAAATCTAGATTGGCTGATCCAAATAAGATAAGAAATCTAGAGAATAGTTCAGCTATAGCACTACATGCAGTTACACACAACCATACAATATGCTGGATGGGATAGGATGACAGACAGTATTAAAATCTAATGTCACAGGGTGGAGGGAGAGATTGATAACAAAAGCTTTGTTTATCGAATCAACTGAGAGAGAATACGTGTAATAGGAATGATTCCTCATCTATCCCCGAAAATTCTACTATCCATACGACAAATAAGAGAGAACAAAGAAAACTATAAAACTCAAGTTCCGAAGTCGTGTGATTACAATTGATGGAATGATTATGAACAATAAATTTTGTTCGAATCGTCATCCAGTAAATACTAATACTGTTTCACTGTGTGATATATCTAATAAACAAACTAATATGGAATCGATGTCAGTTGATAGGCCTACATCGCTATAGCATAATTATTAACTCAGACAGTAGTAGTAGTATCTCAAGTTGTGATGACTACACTATATTTAGAGCTGTCTGGTTCCATACATCTTCATTGAAAGTTTCACTGAATTTTAGCAAATTAGCATTACATTATGAATTATTCAAGTTGGTCAGTAGTCAGTTACACTCTAAGATGCAATCCATTATTTGAGAAACTATTTGGCTGTAGTACTAAGTAAGGTGCGTCATTTTAGGACAATATCAAGTAGACTGCCATATATTATCTGAGTTTTGCCGATTGTTTTGTAAAAGAATGGACACGGAACAAAGAGTACTCTTTTCAATAACCCCTTCATCATCATGGTCTACTGTTATATATACGTCATAGTGAATGAATGAATTAGTGTTATGAACAACATTAGTGTTGTTTAAACAACATCAAATGAATAATATTGATAGATTACAGCTGAACAGCATCAACATAAAATAAGCTGAATGTCAAAAAATTAGGAAAGATAGTAGTACAAATTCATGAGTTTATAGTTTCTACTGAGGGCCGGCCAGGGCAGTAGTAGGGGCTGGCTGAACTTGTTTCTTTTGAACACAGAGCACTGGTTATTTGAGGCGAATTGCAATAGCCTCTGCTGTTTCGAGCATTCGGTGCTTCGATGATTTTGGTAATTTATTAGGCACCCGGTAGATGATGATAGAGAAGGATTCTTCTACGCTGGCTGGCTTTGTGACCGGTTTCCACCAGATGGTTTAATATCGAGCTGCTAATAGTGTTAACTACACCTTTACTTAGCCATAGTGGGATATGTTCTCGAGAGTGCACGAAAAATCAAGTTCCTAGAACAACGGCCAACATTACTCGCTCCACAAGTGCAGTTGAATTGGTAGACTCAATTTGAAGTGGCTAGTCTAGGTACTTCATCTTTCAGTCGAGGTTACACCATCGGTAGTGGTGTAGAGAATAATACGTGTAGTTCGTCAGCATTAAAAGTTCTTTGAACTGATTTTCTTAGTTTCTTCGTAATTATCTCGCTTGGTATATCGATCGCCCATGAATTGTAGTCGTTTATAAGGTGGCTTTTTTTTACAGATAGTGGGTAGTCCTTTTCCGCTTTCTTTGTCATGTGTTTCTTGATAAATTTGTCAGGATAACCATTTTCGATCAAAGTATCATATACAGTGCTTTATTCATCTTTAATTACTTCCTCTGAGCACATAGCTCTAAGTCTGCGGCTGAGGGTCTTCACTAAATTTCTTTTGTACTTGAGAGAGGAACGAAGCTGTGAAAGTGTGTATATTGTTTGTACGTCTTTGATAACAGGTTATTTGATCATATACATACGTATATACTGTTCTTTTTTTGATTTTTCTAGTTCAACTTTTGGATCAACCGACTCAATTAGCTAATGTACTCTGTACATGTTTAACGCATCCAGTGCATGGTGTTCGTCTAGCAGCTGCATCATGCTTACGTCAGCTGGTTATTGTTGTGCCAAGTCAACGTATCCCTTTATTGAATCGATGTTTATTATGCGTACAACAATCGTATAGATATAATGCTGATACACTATTAGGTGTAACTTGTGGTATAACTGGACTGTTAGCCGGTGTAAATTGTTCTTTACTCGGTTTACCTAATAATATGCCTAAACAGGTAAGTTGACTTTTCAGTCGCCTTACACTCATTCTATTCATCATTGGGTAAAGTTAAACTTTCGACACCAGTAACAACCAATCAGCAAACGACCTTGAACGGACCAATCACATGAAAGAGGCGTTTGTGATAAGTGGAAACATATATTTATAGAAAAATGCATAAAGAAAAGGATAAAACGGTTACAAGGGGTATCTTTCCCGAACATGGGACAGAAACATCCCCCAATTCAGCATCGGACTGTCAATAGAGAAGTCACACCACATTCTGTACATATATTCATCTAAATGACTATAAATGATATCCTTTTGAGATCCATTTATAGCCCGTATCCTATTTTTCAATCGACCCCAAAATCCTTCAATGGAATTTGTATGAGTCCCTGTAACTGGATCCACGAAATCACTGGAGTGGTTCACTCTGTGATGAATGTGTCCCAGGGATGACAATGAATTATAACCTTTCCACTCGTCGGTATGTACAATTGATCCCCGTTTGACAAGTCGCGTTATAATAGGTATCAGAGTAGTCGCCTTCCTATCTGCTATTCTTTCAACAAATCCTTTTTGGAGGGAAGTGTCGTATAAACCTATGACCCAAATGTAATTCGTTCTCTGAAGACCACGGTTATATTTCTTCTTCACCAACACAGTCTCATCCACATGCACTACTGTGTCTTCTCCACCCAACAACGAAGTGATCTTCTCCACTTTCCAAGAAGCTTACCCTCTCTAATACTAACTCGCTTCCAGCATATTCCACAACGATGGACAAATCCATCAGTTGACCTGGTATAGCTTTTTAGAGTCATTACACCACCACACGAACAACTTCTCTCCTTTCGAAGTAAGCCTAAGTCCAGGCAATACTGAAAGACACTATCCTCCTCGAATTGCAAACGTAACCTTGTAAGGGCACGCATTGGAAATGAATCAAGCACTATACAACATTGAACTACGTTCGTGAATCTCATTGGATAATTCGACGTCGTTCGCTGATTGGCAGTTACTGATGCTTAAAGTTTAACTTGGCCCATCATTGTTGTAATTTATTGATCCAAGCGGGTTACAGACACTAAGTCTCGTTCGATATGTAATTTTATTTTATATATTTAGGTTATATATTGGTTGAAGGATTTCATCATGAGCTGACATCAGTTAGAGAATCATTGGAAAACCTTCAGGGAGTACTGGATAGCTGTTTCGTCCTAGTTTGAGGCTCTTCAGCTCATGATGAAATCCCCCCTTACTTAGTTTTTTTTACTTCGGCTATCTCCTACGGGAGGATGAGCCGGCTTCATGAACATCTCGAATCATCGCTGCCCAGGCGCGGCGATCTGATGCAAGAGAGTTCATGAAGTTTCATGGGAATTTGGTACGAGTGATGTCCCCAGAATCGCTCGGCCTTTTGTTTGAGAGTGCAGCTCTAGCCTTTACACAACCAAGTGTGACCTACAAGGCAGTAGGAGTGGAGTAGAGAGTCCACTATCCATTGGAAGCCGGTGACCGGAGTTCGGTTCATACGCCTTTTTGAATGGGGCCAGACATCCAGGACATCCAACAAGCCCTTTGTCCATACGTCTGCCGGTGAGCTCCAGTGAGCTTCATACGCCAGTCGTTGGAGGTTTGGAATCAGGGTTCAGCCATCTCCCCTAGACTGTCATCTAATGGACAGTCAACCCGGTGAAGAGCGCCGGGCATCCGCTTTCACCCTCTCACTTTGGTGAAAAACACCTCCGCCACGTGAAGGCAGTGAGTAGGACTTCCTCAGGACAGGCTATGTAAGACGCCCGGTCATATGGGAGCATTTCAAGAGGTGTATGGAGTGGTGGCCAACCCGCAGCGCAAGGCACCCACCCCCGACCATCAAATCAAACAAAATCCCCACAAAGCCAATACTTGAAAATTTAGGGTATAGTTTCTGACATAGGGATTTAGATCAATTTTAATGTCAATTTCATCATGAACCAACATCAGTTAGAGAGATTATTGAAATCCAGGGAACACCACCATGCAAGCTGTTTCACACCCTGGTTTGTGAATTTTCAATAGAACGACCCAACGACCTCCATCAAGAATCGAATTCTCCGGCACCTCCAGGACACAAGACTCTGAGTTCATTGATCATGCATGCAACTAACTGGACTGAAATTCAGTGACCGCATGAATTCCAACTATTGTAAATTTGTGATGATGTCTTCGACGAGCATCCACTTTATCTTGATGTAGTTGACTCCACTAGTCACGACTGCTCCATACAGCTTTTCAGGACATTCATGCAATAGGCATCAACTAACTGGAGACTGGGTAGTTTAAATTGTGTTGTTTTGTTAGGGATTTGAATTATAATTTCAGTGTAGATTTTGTGTCATCAGACAATTTTGTCAGGTTTGTTTAATCACTTAGTAAATCACTTAATCTATAAGTTTTTGCATTGAGTTTGACAGCGTGTTAAGTGCTCCTTAACTTACGCTGTGAATGTGATATTAATAACAAGTGGAGATTTATGTAGATGGTTATTTTTCATATGGGTTAACGGTTTTCATTAACTGTGTTTCTTTTTTGGATTAATACAATCCAGTCTTAGGCTAGTTAAGAATAAAGATTTTTTGTAAATTGATGGATTATTGAACGTTTTCCCTTCTTTTCATTAAACTCTGCTTACTCTGCATTTTACAGCCCTATGAAAGTTTTCTACTTTTAAAACAAGCGGTAACTAAGTAGTTTTATGGATTGTTAGTATTGCATAGCTTTTAACTGTATATATATAAATCAGCAGTATGTCCTGTAAGTATAGTATATGCTTTGCACCGTCTAAGTGCAAAGTACTGTTACAAGATTGGTAGGAGCCTGTACCTGCACTCATTCTTGCGGGTGAACCGCTTGAAGTTGTTGATAAGTTTGTGTATCTGGGTAGTTGTGTGAGTGCTGGCAGAGGGGTGACGGATGAGATTTCCAACCGTATAATGAAAGCTAGGGTGGCATACATCAACTTGAGCCACCTCTGGCGCCGTCGTGACGTTAGCCTGGCTGTCAAAAGTTGGATATACAATGCTCCGGTGCGGGCTGTCTTGCTCTACGCCTGTGAAACCTGGCCTCTCCGAGCTGGGGATGTGAAGCGACTCTGCGTGTTCGATCATTGCTGTCTCCGCAGGATTGCTTGCGTTCGATCGCATCATCGCGTGAGTAATTCTGAGGTTCGGCGGCGTGTGTTCGAACACAGTGGAGATCACCATTGATTGAGTGTCGTCATCTGGAAACACCGGCTCCGGTGGCTTGGACATGTGCTGCGAATGTCATCATAGAGGCTTCCGTACAGATCTCTGTTCGCTAGCCCTGGGACGGGATGGAAAAGGGGGAGGGGTGGTCAGTCCATGACGTGGCGTCGTGTGATGAAAGATATTTGTGCTAGATTAGCATCGGTTGGTGCGTCACGACTCCCTAGTTGGGGTCCGCGAGATAACTCGAATCGATGGCTCGAAACGTTATCGAATATGACCAAGAATCGTAATCAATGGGGAACGTGTTGCAATTTCCTTCTTTCTTCCCTTCATGATGATAGTTAACGAATACTGTTTGAACTTCTTAAACATGACTTTTCCTTCCAGATGAAGTTCTTTATCCGTTCTCCACCATATCTTTACTTTTAATCTATGTTTTTTTATTGTTATTATTGTGTGGCGCATCTTTCTTGGTGCCATATTGTACCAAGTTTTTTCTGCGTTTAAATAAAATAAAATAATGCCCTTGTAATATGTAAATTTACTACTCCACTGTACACAAGTTTTTACTATTGTTTTTCTTTTAGATGTTTAGTTTAGCTGAAGACTTACTACGTGCAGCCAATCAGAATAGTCGGTTTACATTGGCTCGTACACAAAGTGGCTGGAGTTTATTAGCTGCTTGTATAACACTTGGACCAAATATTGTCAAATCGCATTTACCTCGAATATTTTTATTTTGGCGTAATGCATTCCCACGTAGTTTACGTGAATTAGAAGCAGAAAAACAACGTGGTGATGCTTTTACTTGGCAGGTACGTAGTTATTTATTTTTTTTCAACTTTTTAATTATGATATTTACGTGTTAAGTGAACGTGGAAAAAAAAGGGAACTTTAGGTGTAAATTTAACAGTTCCTTTTTATGCCTAGTTGTTTTAGTTAATTGATTGATTGATCGATCGGGAGTGAGGACAGAATACTCACCGAGATGACATTGACTGTTTATTCGCGCTAAAATCATTAATTGGTAGGAGTGTCAGAATTCATGAGCTGGCCATTGAGTTGAGTCATAGTGGCCAAATGGTTTACGAGCTTGACTTGAAACCAGAAGGTCTCCTGGGTTCCAACCCTCTGTGGTGGGTGCGGACTGCCGATGAGCTTCATACAGGGACGAATCGGCTGTCCAGTACTCCCTGGTTCCGAATGGTTCTCTATCCGTGACCCAGGGGACATCTGCTTGAGGCCGGTCACACACGGCCTGTTTTTGTTTGTTCTTTTTCATTTAGTGTGTCTCAGTAGCATATTTATCACTTCTACCCTGTGACACACCAGCAGGAAGCGCGGTCGTTGTTAATCCTGGCCCCGGCCTATCCGGCATGATATTTTGTGATTTACTTTGAGTCATAGCATTGGGTTGGGTAACTGCTTTTTGTCCAGCCGCTATCCAAACAACCTTTCTGGCATGGTAGGACCTCAAGTGACATAAGTTCCAGCCAGTATAGCTTGTTGGGTCATTGCGGTGTTCAAGCCCGATCACCACGTCAAGGTTGCAGCTTTCGGTCGGTTAGAGCACTATTGAAAATCAGGAAGTACTGGACAGCTGTTTCATCCTTGTTTGGAAATCATTGGTTGTACGCGCACCCACTGTGGTTCGAGTCTAGGACCTCCCGGTTACAAGTCAAGCTCGTATACCATTCAGCTACTGGGACCGCGATTCAATGGCCAACAACACATGAATTCTAACCAATTCGTGATTTAGCGCGACTGGCACCAACCAATGTCATCCATCGGTAGGGGGGGGGGGAAAGGTCCATCCTCACTCCCGACTGGATGTGAATCTCACTGGTCACAACTTCTCCCTAAGAACTAACTCCAGGAAACTCCGTGGTCATACTCGAAAAACCAGCCTAATGCTTACAGATCAACTCTCGATAAAGAGAATTTATTATTATTGTTCCCTTGGGTTCCTAGTGGAACATAGGGCTTCAACTACACGTCTCCACTTGCTTCTGTCTTCTGCTGTACTTTTCACCTGCATCCATGTTAGTCCATACTGTTTCAACTCCTCTTCACACGATCTCCTCCATGTCACCCTTGCACTGACGTCCCACTCGCCGCTTCCCTTTCGAGTTCCACTCGAGCGTTGGCCTGACGCGCGATGTCACCCAGCGAGTGGCCTCCTCAGCGAGCCAGTGAGTGTCCAATCCATCTCCACTTTCTCCTGCATATTTGTTGAGCGATTGGTTCTTGTTTTGTTTGTTTCTCCCCATAGTTTGTTTGTTTCTTGTTGGTTCTTGTTCTTTCCGGCGGCCATCTGATCTTGAGTATAGAGCCAGCGAAGACAGTTAGTTAGTTGTTGATAAAGGTGTGCAACAGGCTGTTGGAAATACTCATTCTTTGTGACCCGCCGCCAACTTTCTGATCCATCCGTATAGAAGAAGTGACTGACTTGACTGACGTTTGTATTGAAAATCCGAATTTTGTTGTTGATGCTGAGTTGAGTGACAGCGGAAGATTTCCAGATTGGTTTCAGGTTGATGAATGTGTTTCTCGCCTTCCCGATTCTCGATTTGACATCCTCGTCCGTTCCACCTGCCTGTAGTTGAGACAATGCTCCCTAGATAGGTGAGTGAATGAAGTAACCTCTTTCATTAAATCCCTCCCGTTGATGGTGATTGGCGGTGGATGTTGCTGTTGGTTGGTTGGTTGGTTATTTTCATAACCTCCGTCTTGTCTATGTTCACCTGGAGTCCTGTGTTTACTGCTTCTTCGATCAGTTTGTCGATTTTCGCTTGTAAGTCTTCGATTTTGTGTGACATCAAACATAAATCATCCACGCGCGACATCCAGGTCCTTTAGATTCTTCACGTTGGTCGAGGATATCCCTGTCTTCTCGTTTCCCACTGTCTGACGCATAATCTAGTCCAGTCCACCACAATTAGGAATATCATTGGTGATAATAGACTAGCACCCTTGTCTGACTCCTGTGTTTACTCCAAATGCCTCACTGAGTTTTCCGTTGTGGATGACTTTACATGTTCCGTTGTCGTACAGCTGTTGAATAAGGTCGATGAATATTTGGGGTACGCCGTAGAACTCGAGTAGTTTCCGAATTGCTTCACGGTCAACGCTGTCGAAGGCCTTCTCAAAGTCTATGAAGGAAGTTGAGGTAGAGGTTTGACTGCCATTCCATGCTTTGTTCGATGAATTTATGAGGTGAATGAATAAAATGACTGAATTAAAGACAATTAAATACATCATGATTATGCACATTGATGAATTCGTTTCCTTTTATTTTTTTTTGGGGGGGGGGGCTGGGAATTTACTTTCTCCTACTCCTAACTTCTGTTTTGTTTTTGGTGTTAATATTATTCTATTCTTATTGTGCATAGGAGAAAATAAAAATGAAACCAAAATTCATTTTTTTTTTTTTGCTTAAAAGAAAAAACTACTTGGAAGTATGTCCGTGTAATGGTTGCTTGCACGCCATGCTGATAGGGGTTTTTAATATGTCAAATTACTTACTGTATGCGTTTATCCATGTATGCATGCGTGTATGTATGCATTGAGTTACTGTAATTCAATTAACCATTGGTTTGATTACTAGTCATTATTTATATGATGTTAGAAGAGGAGGGGGTGTGTAGTGTAGGACATATGGGATTTGAACATTTTTTTAAAAGCTTATTATGCAATTCTCTTTTGTGGAATGTAATTAATTTATCTCTAATTATCAATTGAATTGGGTTTCACTAACCAGACCTGAGTACGTACATGTTCATTCTATTCCCTCGATGATCATGATGCATTGAAATTTCGTTAAGTATTTCCTACAGTAGATCTTGGTAAAACGTTCGTATTTGTACATGGAAAATTTTTTTATGTATTCATTGGTTAATATTAACTTTGTTTGTACGTCGCCGGTTGTTGAGGCGTAGAATGTTCGTCAGTGTCACACACACTTGGTCAGGATTCAATTCCCAGCTGAAATACGCGTAAACGTCATCTAGTTGACTGGTTGGTTGGCAGACCCAGAAAAGAGGAAAGGTTGGGTGTGAGAGGGGCTAGCAGCCCCACCCCATAAAACAGCATCATTGCTACTGAACCTTGAATGCCTGTGTTGTTGTTTTTAATTCCTAGAGGAACATAGGGCTTCAGACGTGCCTCTCCATTGCGTTCGGTTCTCTGCTAGAGTCTTCACCTGGCTACAAGTCTGCCCACACGTTTTCATCTCCTCTTCACATGACCTCCTCCAAGTCACCCACCCTTGCACTGACAACCAACTCGCCGCTTCCAATACAGTCGGGTTCCACTCGAGCAATGGCTTGTCTAGTCATGTCATTCACTTGATGGTTTGTTTCCTCAGAGTATGGCCAGCCAATCCATCTCGATTTCTTCCTGCCTATTTCTTTCACAATCGGTTCCTGCTGTGTTGGTTGGTTCGCTCATTGCCACAGATCCCTCTCTGTTGCTGATCTTTTCTGGCCGGCCGGCCATCTGATCTTGAGTAGTATTGAGCGAAGACAACTGTTATTGAAGGTCTGTAGTTTGTTTGAGATGCTTTTTATGACGCGCTGGCCAAGTCTCTGATTCGTATAGTGAGTAGCACTGATTGACTTCACATTGGAGTTGAAAATCCGGATCTTATTTTCATTTTCATGCTGAGTATGGCTGTTGACCTCCTGCACACAGACTTGAGAGTAGTGAAAGCTTGTCTTGCTTTTCCGATTCTTGCTTTGATACGTATATGCACGCACATTCTGTTCCTACTGAGCAAAAACTAAGCTTAAAGGTGTGTAGTATCATGTGACACCGTCAACATTACGACGCTAATACGAAAAGAACGTTGTCATTGGAAGACGTTTGAAAAAGTTTTGATATTTCTTGTTATACAAAAATACCGTTTTGAGTTGAAACAATTTTTGAAATATGTTATATATATATATATTTATTTTTTGCATTTTGTAATAACTTATGCTATTTTTCAAGCTGTTAGCAGCTGTGAAATATATCGGAAAAAAAAATGGAACACGTGAGCTCTGCTTATCCGCCTGCAAATATGTTCATTCTTTCCTCGCCTTCGAAAAAAAAGCGCTACTTACTACTGATTCAACAACACACACACAGAAGGAAGACTACGTAATAATAATAATAATAATAATATACGGCAGCCATACAATGACGTAACGCAGCAATATATTATTTGTAGTAATAATACTGAAGTATGATTATAACAACGCCTTTATACATAACAAACAACCTTGTGAATTATTATCAAGTTATTGCAGTTATCCCCCTATCGCTTATTCAAATGTTTTTGTCTGCGTATAGTATTCTCAAAAGTTATTGATTCGCCTCATTTCTCTCGTTTTCCTTACAACTTTTTCTTTTTTCTTTCTTTTTTTCACTACTCTTGTTCCAAAATAGGTGATGCTTGAATCACGAGCTGGTGCATTATGCTCAATACAAAGTTTTCTAGAATATTGTTCCCAGCTGCTTACCGATGACATCATCCATCGTCTCTTATCACTTATTGAATGTGCATTGAATATGCTTGCACAAATGAATGATATAGTACGTATATATGGGAATCATTTAAAGCTAACAGCTGGTTTTATACGCCTTAGATTATATCGAATTTTGCTATTACTACCGTCAACCGCTTATACTGGTAAGTGTTTTCTTGTTTTGTATGTGTGTGTTTGTGTGTGTAAATGTATGTTTTTACTTGAGGGGGAGAAAATTTCCCCTTTTTCTTCTTCGTGGCGTTTTTGTTGTTGTTGTCGTCGCTGCCTATATATTGATTAGTCTATTCATCATGTTGTTGTTCATGTCTCCGTGATGTCATCCCATCATCATATATTTTGTTCCTCTGAGCTCACCATTACGATGCTTTCCCCACCCCCACACTCCCTTTTCTGTTCTGTTTGTTTGTTCTCTGTCTAATAAGCAGTTCATAGCTGAAATATTATGATATATGTATGTATAAGAATGGGTGTACAGTGAAAATAAGAAGGCATATTCAGTTGAATTGTTCCGAGGAAAATTACATATATATTAATAATTGAGTATTTACATAATTTATAAACTTTTAAAGTAAATAAACGTTACCACTGGTTAATTATATGCATAATTTATTTGATACTTTTTTAATTTATAGTTTCATTCCACTAGAGAGGACAAAATAGAGATGTGTATGCAATAAACTGTGTTGATTGCAGAAGGATTTTAGATTTGGATTATGGTATATATATATATATTTTTATTCCTTCACGTTCCCAGTGGAACATAGGGCTTCAAGATAGAGGCTTGAAGGTTCTGTAGCAGTGGTGTTTATTTTTACAGGATGGGGTTGCTAGCCGCATGCCCAACCTTTCCTCTTCACCAGCTTTTAGTTCTGGCTTAGCGAGGTAAAGGAGTGCGTCGGCCGGGGATCGAACCTCGGACCATGTGCATGGTCTGCTAGCGTCCTAGCCACTATGCCACCGACGTGGATTATGGTATATAATAAGTATTATTTTGTCTGACTTGAAAATTGACTGGAACGGTTGAATATTGTCTGATTATTTTAAGCTAAGCAACTGTTCTACAGCTCCGAAGAGTTTCTTTTTCCACTCGTTTTGGAGCTGTACTCATCACTGGTGTACCCCACATTTGACTCAACTTAAACCTTGCGAATTCAGCTGTCTATACTGATTCAAACCAGACACATCTCTGATAAGCAGTTAGAAGAAACAAGCACAAACAAGCATAAATTATGTCGAATCAACAGAGTTGTTACCATGATAGTAGATAGTGATGGAATAACTTTCTTTTGTATGCATAGTTCTGGTTCTTCTAACTGAATGGCTACAGCTTGTGCAATGCAAAGAAGGCGGTAGCGTATTGTCTTTGACAGGTTATTCTTCACTTTATAGATTACTTTGAAGCAGGAGGCGTTTGTTGAGATGGAGTGACCAGCGGTGACGAGATGTTCGATTATTTCACTCCTTTTACAGCCACTACTCCTTTTTTGCAGCCACACGGGATAATGTCCTTTGACCCTTTTTGACAGGATGGTCGTCGAATGACCGATGTACCTGACTGGCTCTATAGCAACATGTGGACTGATATATATATATATATATATATATATATATATATATATATATAGACGCTTCGCTGAACTTCTGGTCTTCTCTCAGTTAATGTCCGAATTGGGATTTTTCATGAATTAAAAGTTTCAGATTAACTTTCATATGTGTATTTTTCAATTAATACGAAGTACATAAATTGATTAGATTGTTTAATAAATTTTATTTACATGGTAAAATATTCATCTGATGATATGATGAATAGGACAGAATTAAAACATGTGCAAAAATATATTGATAGGCAACTGTGTGCACGGTTCGACAGGAAGAGTGTTGCGTGATCGCAAAGCCCAGGGGACAACTGCTTGAGGCCGGTCACACGCGGCCTGTTTTTGTTTGTTCTTTTTTATCTGGTGTGTCTCAGTAGCGTATTTATCACTTCTGCCCTGTGACACGGCAGCAGAAAGCGCGGTCGTTGTTAATCCGGGCCCCGACCGATCCGGCATGATATTTTGTGATTTATTTGAAGTCATAGCATTGGGTTGGGTAACTGCTTTTTGTCTAACCGCTATCCAAACAACCTTTCTGGCATGGTAGGACCTCAAGCGACATAAGTTCCAGGCAGTAAAGCTTGTTGGTTCATCGCGGTGTTCAAGCCCGACCACCACGTCAAGGTAGCAACTTTCGGTCGGGCACGGTTCGAGGCCCCAATAAGTGGTATGGAGTGTCATTCAATAACCCCTTGGATAAAAATGCGGTTGTCAATGCGCTACATGTACTGACTGTAGAAAGAGGTTGGTGATATTATTTTTCGACTGTCTAAATCTTGATCAGTGAAGAATGAAGTTTCAAACCATGACTCCCCAGTTGTGAAAGTCAAGCGTCTAGTTCAGTCAATGCGCTATGATGTCACAATGGGTCAGTTCATAAATTAGGCTTGTATACTCGTTTTTCAGCTAGTAGTAGTGGGTCATGAGCTGGAGTCCCAATTTATTACTCACTTCAACCTAGTTAGCTGAATAGTGTCATCTGCCCTCACAAGATAAGCGTGGTCCTTAGCCTGGTACATGATAGATCTGTCTAGAGTAATTGGAGTAACAGCATCCGTGCCAAAAAAGATACTTTATATGAACCTCGACTTCAAAGGAGACCTACTCAGTGACGTCCTTAGAAGGAGAATCTCCACCTCTTTAAGAAGAACTTTCTTTGCGGCAACATTGAGAGTAGTGTTCTCTAGTCACCCACTTATCTGCAGAATCCCAAAGGACAAGATCCCGCTCCTGACCACTTCTACGTATATATATCAGTTCACCTGTTGCTGTGGAGCCAGGTACATCGGTCGTTCAACGCGTATCCTGTCAAAAATGGTCAAAGAACACTATCTAGCGTGGCTGCAGAAAGGAAGTAATGGCTGCATAAGGAGTGCATTAATCGAACACCTTGTCAAAACTGGTCATTCCATCTCAACAAACACCTCCTGCTTCAAAGTAATCTACAAAGTGAAGAACAACCTTCCAAAGACAGTGCGATTCCGTCTTCTTTGCATCGCAGAAGCCCTAGCCATTAAGCTGGAGGAACCAGAACTGTGCATACAAAAGAAAATTATTGAACCACTTCTACTTTCATAGTAACAACTCTGTTGATTTGACTTAACTTTTGTTTGTATGCTTATTTTTCTAACTACTTAAAACCCTTGCAAAACTCCGTATGTTATTTTGTTTCCATGTTCACCCTGAGCACAACTCTTTCATCAAACTATTCACGTTATTACGCAACTCTTCTTTAACAATCGTTTGTGACAACTCATCACTTTTGTCACTACCCTCTTATATCAACATCCAATTCATCTGAACTTATTAATTGTATTTCGTTTGACAAATTTAATGTACACACACATACAAAACAACCATATATATGTTTCCGATTGTACAGCTATGAAAATGAATTCGCCGCCGAAAAGAGACTCTTTGCTGAACTACTTGTCTTCTGTCTATTAGTGTTTGAATGGGAATTTTTCATGGAGTAATTGTGTTTAAAGAAGCAATATTCACTAGTGAATAGGAGCAAAGTTCGATATATATATATATATATATATATATATAAGTAGAGAAAGAGATTATTTATTTAACACCAATTTATTTAATATTTAATTTTGTAAAATAGCATTTATACACCACTTATGGCAAACAAGTCTCAATCAACGAGGTAATGCCAGATCAATCTATCCTGGTTGGTTTCCCCCCACCCCCACCCTTTGATTGACAATAATATCATTATGCTACCGTTTTCTTTTCATAGAATGTGATTAATACCTTTCTATCTCTTTATTTACTTCATGCTTGGTATTTATCTATATAATTATCATTTGAAGTTACTGTTTTTTCTTGAATGACGACTGATTTTAAAAATGGTTTATAATGAGTAAATTACTTATTATGGGGAATGTGTGGGGTAAAGCATATAAATATACAAATGTGTATATTGCATGCACACTTGAATGATTGTTGTTCATTTACCATATATAAGAAATCTCCTTTTTTATTTTTGTATATTCGATAACATCTTTAGTAGCCATTGATATAAGAATAAAACTTGTGCACTGTGGTAGAGTGTAATTCCATTATGGGTAAATTTTATTTTGATAAAGTCTCACAGTGTTGTTATACAGTAATGTTTACTGATGACCACGTTTCGAGCACAATTTATTACTGCTCATAATCATATCAAGGTAATCACACGACTTCCTAAATTCATTTATATAGTTCCATTGTTTTTCACTTGATTTTCACTTAATTTGATTGGTAGTAATATTTTCCATATTTCGGGTATCAGTGAGTGATGATTCATTCCTATTGCATGTGTTGAGTGTAGATTCCATGATCAAGGATTCAGTAATCAACTTCTCTCTCTCTCTCTCCACCTACCTAGATTACTTTTTAGAATTTCAACCCTCTCCCACCCTATTGTGTGGTTGTTTTGTTTATGCTTGAAGTGCAATTGCTGAGCTTTTTTCTAAATTGCTTATCTTCTCGGGGTCAGAATTTAGCTAAGGTAAGAAGGGTTGACCCCGAGAAGATAAGCAATTTAGAAAAAAGCTCAGCAATTGCACTTCAAGCATAAACAAAACAACCACACAATAGGGTGGGAGAGGGTTGAAATTCTAAAAAGTAATCTAGGTAGGTGGAGAGAGAGAGAGAGAAGTTGATTACTGAATCCTTGATCATGGAATCTACACTCAACACATGCAATAGGAATGATTCATCACTCATACCTGAAATATGGAAAATATTACTACCAATCAAATCAAATGAAAATCAAGTGAAAAACAACGGAACTATATAAATGAATTTAGGAAGTCGTGTGATTACCTTGATATGATTATGAGCAGTAATAAATTGTGCTCGAAACGTGGTCATCAGTAAACATTACTGTATAACAACACTGTGAGACTTTATCAAAACAAAATTTACCCATAATGGAATCTTTAGTAGCCATTGGTTTTGGTTTTTTTAAACGGGGTTGGGATTGCTAGCTTCACAACCAATCTTTCCTTTTTTTCTCCAGACTAGCAAACTAGGCGAGGTTCAGGTGTGTTTATCGGCCAAGAATCGAGCTTGCACCTTCTGCGTGGTTGGAAAACGTTCTATAACTGAACTAGCAACTTATTTTTACCTGTTATAACCATATTATCAGTCTGGTAATACTGACGATCAGTCAGTAGAGATGTAGTTCATTGTTCTAAGTGTGCCGGGTGTACCTGCATTTTCCAGTAATGGGTTCGAACCAGGTGACCAGAGTGTCAAACGCCGAAGTGTTATCCACTAGACCACATAGGCGCCATGAGAGCCACATGTTGTACAACCGGAGTCAGTTATTATTAATCATTTCTGATTCAGTTTTGATTTTCCGGTTGAGTGATTGGACCGGAATGTTCGACTGCTATTTACACCGACATGTCAGCTCCTTGTGGGGACGCTTCAACTGTAATTTGATGGGTGGGGACTAGCAGCGCGGCATCCAGGATGCGCATTTCTCCTTTATGAGACTCGTCATCTGCTGGACATGCCTGTATTCTTCACTGAGTGACATTGTTCCCAATGAGTGATTGGAACCCAGTACCTATCTGATTTTATTTCAAGAATATTTTTAGTGATGTAGTGCTTGCGTCACTTCGAATATATGTTCACAATGCATCGCAACTTTATTTAAACTCGCTACAGCAAACTCTGAATTGATGATAGCCTTGACTTCTATAAACTATATACAGATGAATTCAGTTCAACCGCTAAAAATGATTAATGCCAAATTGATTGGTTTAAGTAAGTAACTTATGATTTTCTTGTTGATTGGGAATTTCTAATTCCCAAGTGGGACGAAATACTAGTCCTTGCTTGATTCCACTGCTAGTCACCATCCATTGAATGACTAGATGGATGTTGTCATCTGTGGTGGTGACGACTAGTGGCGTACGTCAAGGATGCCCATTATCCCAATTTCTATTTAACTTTATCATAGATGTACTAACTACCAGGGAATAATCTCGTTGACTTAGAATATGCAGACGATATAGTCCTTCTAGGCGAGGACGCTGACAAAATAAAGCAGAGTCTTCTGAACACCTTGAGATGCAATCTACGAATGTTTGGTATGCCATTCACCCCTGTAAAATGTAAGATTATGTTGCAGGATTGGACTACACCGACCCCTATATTAGAAATAGGAAGTGAACTGGTAGAGCACGTTGACCGCTTCACTTACTTGGGAAGTTCCATCAGCCGACGCCAACGGCTTGATTTCCGACGAAATATCACCACGAATACAGAGAGCTAGTTTCGCATATGTCAGTTTACGCCGTCTCTGGTTTAGTAGACGTGATATCCGACTATCGACCACACGGCCTAAGTACTGCTCATCAGTCCGCTCCATCCTCTTTCATGGCTGTGAGACCTGGCCATTGAGAGTAGAAGACATGAAAAGATTAGCTGTCTTTGATCATAGGTGTCTGCGTTCTATCTCCCGCGTGAAGTGGTATAATAAGATGAGCAATATTGAGGTTAGGCTTCGGTCGAGTGGTAGGTAGGTGGGAGGGGAAATCAGTTGACGAGACTGTGAAATTACATCAACTGAGATGGTTAGGACATGGGTTACGAATGAATGCCTAGTCATCGCCTTCCTCGACAATGGGCAATGTTAGCTGACATAGGATTGGTCAGGCTGGAAAAGAGCTAGCCAGCGGCGGTCAAACGAAAACATGGCTTCACCAGTCAATGAAATCTACAACAGTTAGTGTAAGCCAGCCAGCCACGTAGGAAGGTGTAGACTGGCTTCCTGACTGGTTGGGGTCCTCGGGATACGGTAAAAACCAATGGTTGGAAACAATTGGTGACATGGCTAGCTCAAAATCGTTGTCAATGGTTGGCGCAGATGCATCCACTCCTTGTGACTTATGACTTGTCTCACACTTTTGTTTACTGTCTATATTATTATGAATTTCTCCTACTATCTTCTGTTGCTTTGTGTGCTATATGTGGGGTAGTGTGGCGACTTAAACTGGTGCACATCAGTGCAAAGTTCTATGTCGAAAACAGACAGACAGACTAGATGGATTGCTTGTCTATCGCATGAACTGAATTTATCAGAGGTTTTAAAATACTTCTACTGAGTCTAATCATAAATGATATGGTAGTAGTAGTATGGTAGTACGATTCTTTTTTTAAAAATAGCATTATTGCATCCATTGGCTTATGCATACATCATCGCATGCTTTTATTCTGTATAGTAAATATGCATATTCTAAAATATATAATTGAATGAATGGATGAATTATTATTATTATCATCATCATCGTATTTCTAATGAGCATTCACACACAATCTGAGCATCTGAGTATTCTGATGAACGCCTTTTTTTTTTGTAAAATCAATACCTCTTTTCTTTCTTAGAGGTTAATGTTTGTTTTTAAGAAAAAACAAACTGAATTCCAATGAAAATTAATCTGCTTTTCAAGTAGAAGAAATTAAAATTTTAATTCCAATATTTGTTATTATCATTTTTTTCATTATTAACTTGTTGTTGTTGTTTTTATCTTTCCTGGCTCATTTTTATCCATGAAATGTCAACACTTGTGAATGGAATGTGAATGGCTTTCTAGGCTCCTATAGTACAGTGTTACGTGAATTAGTGGCTGAATTTACACTGACAGATAATATGGCGAATACAACAACTTCTATGTTCAGAGCATTATGTCGTTCTGAGGATAGTGTAACACTGGCCTCGTGTTTACAGGACACTGATCAAAGATTATTAGAAGAACAGGTATGTGTTGTTGTTAATGTTGTTGTTGTCGTTGTTGTTTATGCGCTTTGTTGATTGTTTCATATAATAATGATTATCCAGTTTCTTTTACCAATGATATTCCTAATTGTGGTGGACTGGACTGGATTATGCGTCAGACAGTGGGAAACGAGAAGACAGGGATATCCTGGACCGACGTGAAGAAGCTAGAAGACCTGGATTTCGCGCCTGGATGATTTATGTTTGATGTCACACAAAATCGAAGACTTACAAACGAAAACCGACAAACTGGTCGAAGAAGCAGCCAGAGAAGACAGGACTGCAGGTGAACATAGACAAGACGGAGGTTATGCAAATAACCAACCAACCAACAACAACAACAACAAGAACAGCAGCGACATCCACCGCCAATCACCATCAACGGGAGGGATTTGATGAAAGAGGTTACTTCATTCACTTATCTAGGGAGCATTCATTGTCTCAACTACAGGCAGGTGGAACGGACGAGGATGTCAAATGGAGAATCAGGAAGGCGAGAAACACATTCATCAACCTGAAACCAATCTGGAAATCTTCCACTGTCACTCAACCCAGCCAGCATCAACAACAAAGTGATTCGGATTTTCAATACAAACGTCAAGTCAGTCAGTTCTTCTTTACGGATGGATCAGAAACTTAGCGGTGGGTCACAAAGAATGAGTATTTCCAACAGCCTGTTGCAGACCTTTATCAACAAGTAACTGTCTTCGCTGGCTCTATACAGAAGATCAGATGGCCCCCGGAAAGAACAAGAACCAACAAGAAACAAACTATGGGAACAAACAAAACAAAAAGCAATCACCGAACAAATATGCAGGAGAAAGTGGAGATGGATTGGACACTCACTGGCTGAGGAGGCCACTCGCTGGGTGACATCGCGCGTCAGGCCAACGCTCGAGTGGAACCCGGAGGGGAAGCGGTGGCGAATGGGACGTCAGTGCAAGGGTGACATGGAGGAGATTGTGTGAAGAAGAGATGAAACAGTATGGACTAACATGGCTGTAGGTGAAAAGTACAGCAGAAGACAGAAGCCAGTGGAGAAGTGGAGTTGAAGCCCAAGGGAACAATAATAATAAGAAGAATGATCTCCTCCAATTCACCACACCCAACTCATCGTTTCTTATTCAAAGTTCCACTCAAGCATCTAGTATAAGTCGTTGCTAGACGGTTTCCTTAACGTGTGTCTAATATATCTGTATTTCCTCCAGCATATTTGATGGGCAACAGGTTCTTGGCTGCGTACCAGAGTTCCTTCTTTTTGTCCTTCCAGGCCGGCCATGTGATCTTCAGTATTGAGTCAGAGAAGACACGTCTTGACAAATTTCTGCAGACTGGTTGAAATGCTTTTAGTAGTAGTGCGTGCTGCAAACACTGACCTGACATTAGAGTTGAAGGTCTGAATCTTGTTGTTTATGCTGATATTACAGTGGATTTCAGCACTAATTGCAAGTTAATTAGAGCCCATCTTGATTTTTTGATCCTGCCTTTAACACGCATTTTGTCTATTAGGTCTGTTTTCCATTGATATCTATTAGCGTTGATGATATCTTTGGTGTTTCCCTTTTGTTGAAAAGACATTGGTTTATTTCCTGATTATCTTTAGCTTCAGCTAAAGGATACTGAAGTATGAGAGTGGTGTTAAACCTGCAAACCATCAAACAGAGGAAATGGTTCAGTTAGTAATTATTATTATTATTGTTGTTTCCTTTAATTCCTAGAGGAACATAGGGCTTCAGCCGTGCGTCTCCATTGCGTTCCGTTCTCTCTTACAGTTTTCACCTGGCTCCAAGTCTCCCCACACGCTTTCATCTCCTCTTCACATGACCTTCTCCAAGTCACCCACCCTCGAACTGACGACCAACTCACCGCTTCCCATTCAGTCGGGTTCCACTCGAGCGATGACTTGTCTAGTGATGTCACTCACTTGATGGTTTGTTTCCTCAGAGTATGGCCACCCAATCCGTCTCCATTTCTTCCTGCCTATTTGTTTCACAATCGATTCCTGCTGTGTTGGTTGGTTCGCTCATTGCCAGAGATCCCTCTCTGTTGGTGATCTCTTCTGGCCTGGCTGGGCATCTGATCTTGAGTGGTATTGAGCGAAGACAACTAGGTGTAAATGAAGGTCTGTAGTTTGTTTGTTTGAGATGCTGTTTATGACGCGCAGTGCAGTGCAAGTCTCTGATCCATCCGTATAGTGAGTGGCACTGACTGACTTCACATTGGAGTTGAAAATCCGGATCTTATTTTCATTTTGATGCTGAGTAGGGCTGTTGACCTCCTCCTCACAGACTTGAGAGTGGTGAAAGCTTGTCTTGCTTTTCCGATTCTCGCTGCTTTGATATCCTCGTCAGTTGCGTGCGCCTGTAGTTGAAACGATGCTTCCCAGGTAGGTTGGTTGGTGAAGGTTGCTTCTTTCAGGTTCTTCCCATTAATGCTTACAGTTGTCTGTTGTTGTTGTTGCTGTTGGTGGTGTTGCCCAGGAATCTTCATCACCTCTGTCTTCTCTATGTTCACCTGAAGTGGTGTCCTATCTTCTCCGGATGCTTCTTCTGCCAACTTGTTGCTTTTCACTGGCATGTCTTCCAGTTTGTGGGAAATCAGACATATATATGTCATCGGCGAAGTCCAGATCCTCCAATTTGTTTTTTGTGTGAGTCCATTTTATGCCTGTTTCCTTGTTGAACGTTTCGCTGTTTGTCACATTATCCAACCTACTGCAATCAGGAAAATCATTGGCGATAGTAGGCAGCCAGCTTGTCTTACTCCTGTCCTCACTTTTTCGAAGGATTCCGTAAGTTTCCCCTTGTGGATTACTTGACATGCAGCATTGTCGTACAACTGTTGGATGAGATGTATAATTGTCGGTGGTACTCCGCGTAATAGCGAAGTAGTTTCCAAATCACCTCTCGATCGACGCTGTCGAAGGTCTTTTCAAAGTCGATGAAGTTGAGATAGAGAGGTGATTGCCATTCCAAGCTTTCACTTAGCAATTATTTCATAGTATTTAATTTACTAACCAATTACACTAGTTATAACTCCCATTGATTTTATTTTATAATACAGGAGTATTGTCTAGGTGCTTGACCTGTAACCTATAGTTTACAGGTTCTAACGTTGCTCCATCCATCGAGGTTTGGGCGGTTAGATAACATTATTAGCCTTTACACTCTAGGTGTATGTGTGTCTATGGCTCATTACCAATTGCCTAGATATACTGTGGTGGGAGCTGGCTGCTAGCCAACGTTGGTAGACAGCAATTTACGTCAATGTTTACGTCCCCAATATTGGTCGTGAGAAAAATAACAACAAAGACTGACTACTCAACAACCAATCACAGCAGACTTTGCGTAGGCGGATACAATTTGCAGATAGATAATCTGAACTTCAATAAACGGCCACAAAGAGATGAAATATTAACGTTCAGCAAGAATCACCACCAATCAGAAGACTGCGTTTGTTTGCTTACAATAATCTATAATAATGTACATGAAAATCTATAAATATCTGTTGACTTCCTAAATAAGGGATCTGTTGCCTGGCCCTTGTCTTCTGTTGTTACAATACAACTGGTTAGTGCATATTACACGGAAGTGTCAGTCAATGAAATTATTCGCGTACTTCTGAAGAGTCCCAAGCTAGGACGAAATAGCTGTTCAGTACTCCCAGGTTTTCCAGTGGTTCTCTAACTGATATCAGTTGATGATGAAATCCTCTATGTATCCGTTATATTTCATACATAATGACAATTGACATGTGCTTCAGCGTCGTGTAGAATGCAGATAGGAAATTTGACCATGAAGTTGTCGAAGTACCTGACTTTTTTGTGAGTACATAATAATCCTATTCTTTTATGTGATCAAATAAATCTACATGTGACTGCCGCCGCCTCGGGTGGTGGCTCAATGATAGAATCCTCGCCAGTTGCAGACGTGATCCGGGTCCTACTCTCAGATGATGTACTTCTAAACTTCGCCTTGTTTTTGTTCCCTTCACGTTCCCCAGTGGAACATAGGGCTTCAAGGTAGTGGCTTGAAGTTTCTGTAGCAGTGTTTATTTTACAGAATGGGGTTGCTAGCCACATTACCAACCTTTCCTCTTCACCAGCATTATTTCTGGCTCAGCGAGGTAAAGGAGTGTGTCTGTGGTCGAACCCCGGACCATGTGCATGGTTGGCGAGCGTCCTAACCGCTATGCCACCGACGCTCGCCTTGTTTACTAGTACATATTATAATTGTTTCCTTCAATTCCTGGAGGAACATAGGGCTTCGGCGGCGCATCTCCATTGCGTTCGGTTCTCTGCTAGACTCTTCACCTGGCTCCAAGTCTCCCCACACGTTTTCATCTCCTCTTCACATGACCTTCTCCAAGTCACCCACCCTCGAACTGACGACCAACTCTCCGCTTCCCTTTCAGTCGGGTTCCACTCGAGCGATGGCTTGTCTAGTGATGTCACTCACTTGATGGTTTGTTTCCTCAGAGTATGGCCACCCAATCCGTCTCCATTTCTTCCTGCCTATTTGTTTCACAATCGATTCCTGCTGTGTTGGTTGGTTCGCTCATTGCCAGAGATCCCTCTCTGTTGGTGATCTCTTCTGGCCTGGCTGGGCATCTGATCTTGAGTGGTATTGAGCGAAGACAACTGGCTGTTGATGAAGGTCTGTAGTTTGTTTGAGATGCTGTTTATGACGCGCAGTGCAGTGCAAGTCTCTGATCCGTATAGTAGCACTGACTTCACTAGTACATATACTTGTAAGGAATGGAATGCGCCGCCTAAGTGAATAATGAATGCTTTTCCTTATATCGTCCTCTTCTTACCTACTAACTCCAGTAACTGGTGGACGATTTTTTTTAAAAACATTTTTCTTCCCTGTGTTGAGAATACCTATTACGCTTTGGTATTTTATGAATTTTCTGACTTCTAAGGTTCATACATTGATCACATCCTTTTCTGTTCTAGTACTACTCTTTGGCAAGGTTATCTACTCGTAATCATATTATATATGTGAATCGTTCGATTGCAAGAATGTAAAGAGTTTTTATCATAACTTTTGTTTCACTGACTGGTTTTTTTTTCTTCCAATAGCTACAACCTACTGCTTTGAACAACTCCCCTGGTTCACTGGAACATGATCCGGCTTATTTATATCTACGAGATGGTGTGGCTAGTGTATTAGTAAGTTTGAGCAATCTCTATCAGTATTTATCGATTTTGTTTTTTCTCTCTCTTTCCTATAAACTTTATTCTTCTATCAAGTCATTTTTGATTGAAGGTTCTTTGATTAGAAGCAGCAAAGACAGAACTGACTCCAGGTGAACATAGACAAGACGGAGGTTATGCAAATAACCAACCAACCAACAACAACAACAACAAGAACAGCAGCGACATCCACCGCCAATCACCATCAACGGGAGGGATTTGATGAAAGAGGTTACTTCATTCACTTATCTAGGGAGCATTCATTGTCTCAACTACAGGCAGGTGGAACGGACGAGGATGTCAAATGGAGAATCAGGAAGGCGAGAAACACATTCATCAACCTGAAACCAATCTGGAAATCTTCCACTGTCACTCAACCCAGCCAGCATCAACAACAAAGTGATTCGGATTTTCAATACAAACGTCAAGTCAGTCAGTTCTTCTTTACGGATGGATCAGAAACTTAGCGGTGGGTCACAAAGAATGAGTATTTCCAACAGCCTGTTGCAGACCTTTATCAACAAGTAACTGTCTTCGCTGGCTCTATACAGAAGATCAGATGGCCCCCGGAAAGAACAAGAACCAACAAGAAACAAACTATGGGAGCAAACAAAACAAGAAGCAATCGCCGAACAAATATGCAGGAGAAAGTGGAGATGTAACAAGGGTGACTCAGTACAACTATCAACAACTTGGAATATAATTCTGGACACAAAAACATGAATGAACGTGGAATATAACTCAAATACAAAACGAAACATGAATGAGCAAAAATAATGAACCATAGATATGAGTACAAATCATAAATGTGTGAAAAAAACAATTCCATCAGTGGTGTGAACACGGGCAGTAATTTTGCTCGAAATATTACCAATAACAAAATTTATCATTGCGTGTAAACTATTGAAATATAATTATACTTTATTTGGTCAAGTCAGTTCTTCTTTACGGATGGATCAGAAACTTAGCGGTGGGTCACAAAGAATGAGTATTTCCAACTGCCTGTTGCAGACCTTTATCAACAACTAACTAACTGTCTTCGCTGGCTCTATACTGAAGATCAGGTGGCCACCGGAAAGAACAAGAACCAACAAGAAACAAACTATGGGAGCAAACAAAACAAAAAGCAATCGCCGAACAAATATGCAGGAGAAAGTGGAGATGGATTGGACACTCACTGGCTGAGGAGGCCACTCGCTGGGTGACCTCGCGCGTCAGGCCATAGCTCGAGTGGATTCCGAAAGGGAAGCGGCGAGTGGGACTTCAGTGGAAGGGTGACATGGAGGAGATCGTGTGAAGAGGAGTTGAAACAGTATGGACTGACATGGATGCAGGTGAAAAGTACAGCAGAAGACAGAAGCAAGTGGAGGCGTGCAGTTGAAGCCCTATATTCTACTAGGAATCATGGGAACAATAATTATAATAATATTTTAGAAATTGTTGTGTTTGAATAAAGCAAGAACGAAAGTGGTTTGTGCAGAATAATATGGTACCATCATTTATTTCGTAGGCTTCTCATCAGCTGCTTACAGCCTAAATACATAATGAGGTTTGCTTACAAAAAAGTTTTAACATACTTGCAAAGTTTTACATGTTGCCAGTTGACAAAAAGTTCCACAGTAGGTGAACAGTGCTCAGAAAATTGCGCTTATATAGTTTTTACACATGCAGTTCAAGTTTAAACAAAATAGATGTATGCATACAATGGTAAAGGAGTTACGTAATAAAGACGAAATATGAGTTAGATACAGAGTGACTAAGAAATTAGGTAACAATGTACTGAGTTCAACTCAAATCATAGAAACAAGAGACAAGCAAAATTACAGATTACAAAAGGAGTGAGGTTAAAGACAAAGATTACGTAATCAGATGAGAGAATAAAGACATTCAGTTACCAGGGCAAAGAGAGATTAATAACTGCTTCTTTCTGAACACATAAATCTGGTTTCAAGCGTTTGATAGAGATTGCTTCGGCAAACTTGAGGAGAATGGAACTCCTTTGTCTATTGATAATTTTAAAGGATTTCTCGATTTCTACCTCATGACCCGTGTCGAGAAGATGTCTAATGATAGCGCTGCTATAAGAGTTTGTTCCCTTGAGACGTAGGCTTCTTGGCACATGTTCAGAAAATCGGAGGTGTGCCCTTCTTTCTGTTCTCCCCAATATAACTGCTGCCGCAGATACACGTAAATTTGTATACACAGTTGGAGTTAACATGAGAAGGGTATCTATCGACTTTTGACTGCACCAAAGAGCATGTTGTTCGATGGACGGGAACCAACTTAGCTGCAGGATAGGCTCTGGCTAGTGATGTTCTCAGTCTTCTGTTGACCATTTCTGCAATGTTTTCACCTTTAAAATCTAGTTGAATGAAGACAGGCTTTTTTGTATATATATACTACTGATAAGTGTTATCAGTAGCGCATACTCCATGGTTTTACTGCTGTTTATTTGAATTGGACAGTTCTTGCTTTTTGTTTGGTTGTGAAAAACACAAGTTGAAATGCAAATAGGATTAATTATATATAGTGCATCATTAAACATATAACCGCCTTTGGCTGAATTTCAACCTAGAAGTGTACACTGAAATATGCCCGATCAGCTTGCCACACAACATGTAGGAAACAAGCGTAGAGAATTCAAATGAACTATAATGAGCAGAAATGTATGTGGAGAAAGAACAGTAGCGTGAAAGAAAAAATATGAGGATCTTGTGGATCTGGGAGATTAAGGAAGATCGAATGGATCTGCTCCATTGTTAACGATTTTGAACCATATTACCAACAACCTCAAGCTGTTGGTAATTAACATCTCAACGTCTTCAACCAGGAAGCTTAAAACTACCTACATGGACTGACTAAAACCATGCCTAACTCTTTTCCAACCTAATCATGTCTCAGCTGACATTGCTCAGTGAGGAAAACGATGACTCAGTGTGAGCAACACGTGTCCTAGTCATCTCAACTGATGTAGCTCCACACAGCCCCATTGGCTGGCTTTCTTTCCTTTCCTAACACTCTACGTCTAAGCTCAATATTAGCATATTATACCACTTGAAAGCGTGGGGGGAGGGAGTGGCGGAAAGAATGAAAACATCCACAGTGAAAGAAAGCTAGCGCTTTCATATTTTCCACTGTCAATGGACGTGTTCATTAAGCGAACTACTGCAGCATCATTTTATATATTTAATCCGGGGCGAATTGTGTGCCTAACACTCGGATATATCTACTGAAGGTGTCCAGCATCTTCACGTAGGAGGACAATATCATCCGCAGACTCTAAATCGTGTGTAACATTAGTTGACTAGAGGTTAATTGAAAAATTAATTTTAAATTTGTGGATTTGGAGTCGTTTTTTAGGGAAAAAAATCTGTGCGCACCCCTAAATAGGAAGCTTTCATTCATAACATCATATCAATCATATTTATCACTGTCATCTATCCCCCATCCCTGTATATTCACAGAGTGAAAAGGTGTTCACATTCTGATGCTGGATATCACTGATCACTATTCAGTAGTATTCAGTTCAGTTAACTGAACTTAACGACTTAGGAATCGACTTGTTACCAGGGGATAGTTTTATGGACTTAGAATATGCAGACGACATAGTCCTGTTAGGAGAGGATGTTGACAAAATAGAGCAGAGTCTTCTGAACACCTTGAGAAGCAATCTTCATATGTTTGGCATGCGATTCGCCCCTGTAAAATGTAAGATGCTGCTACAGGAATGACTGGACTACGTCAACTCCTAGCTTAGTGATAGGGAGTGAAGTGATAGAACATGTTGACCACTTCACCTATTTGGGAAGTTGTATCAGCACCAACGGACTGATTGGTGATGAAATCTCAGCACGGATCCAGAAAGCTCGAGCTTCTTTCGCTAACTTACACCATCTCTGGCGTAGGCGTGACATCCGACTGTCAACCAAGGGACGTGTATACTGCTCAGCAGTTCGCTCCATCCTTCTCTATGGCTCTGAAACATGGCCAATATGAGTTGAAGACATGAAAAGGTTGACTGTTTTTGATCATAGATGTCTACGATCTCTTTCTCACGTTAGGTGGTATAATAAGGTAAGTAATGTAGACGTTAGGCGTAGAGTGTTGGGCAAAGAGGAAAAATCAATCGAAGAGAAGAGGATATAAAGTTACATATATTGAGATGGCTAGGTCACGTGCTACGAATGCCTAACCATCGCCTCCCACCCCGCCGACGGGCATTACTAGCTAGCTGATGTATAGATGCAGGTTGGGAAAGAGTAAGTGGTGGCCAAACAAAAACATGGATCGCATCAATCAATCCATGAAATCCTTCCTTGACAGTTAAACTGAGTCAAGTCAGGTAGGGAGATGCAGACTTCCGGGTTGGTTGGGGCCCGCCCTCGGGACTCTAAGAATCAATCCATGGATGGAGACAGACAATAGGTGACATGGCTCAAAATCGTTGTCAATGGCTTACGCAGATGTATTCAGTCTCTGTAATATTCAGTTTCATATTCCTTTCTACCATTACTCATTCTGTTTCACTCTTAAACTTGTCGAAACTCTATTGATTCTCTTCAGTCATCTTCTTGTCTTGTCTACGTTTGTGTGGTATTTGGAACGTGGCAACTCGAAGTGCTGCACTTCGTTGCAGCCAAGTTCTATGTTGAATCCAGACAGACAGACAGATCACTATTCAGTAACTATGGGGTATCTTAATGTTAATGCTTTCCCAAGTTTTGCCTGATATATGAGCCTCTAAATTACTGTTTCCGTGTACTCTTTATGCCTATTGAAATTCTCAATATCTCTCTCCGAAGAGTAAACTGTCATTGGTCGTTTAGTCTTTTAAAAAAGTATCAGTGAATTTAATGTTTTTGAAAGTCATTTAAAACATATGTAGCATTCAGCATTGCTGCCAACTGTTTTGACTCCTCTTGTTTGAGACAGTAAGCTCTGTCTGGCAATGTATTGATGTTCATACTACTTAGAGTATGTGGATGACATCACCCTTCTAGGTTGGTGAAGATGCTGACAAAATGCCTAGTCTTATGAATAAATCGAGTAGAAATCTTCGAATGTTTGGCATGTGGATTCGCTCCTGTCAAATGCATAATGATGCTTCAAGTTTGGATTGGACTGACTCCTGCCTTAAAGATACGGAGTGAATTGGTGTAGAGCTAGCTGGTCATCACTTCGGCTCCTAATGGACGACTGATTGTTGACGAAATCTCAGTAGCTGTACGAAAGGCTGTTTGAGGCGTTTGTCAACTTCATTTCTGGTGTAGATGTGATATGCGACTATTGGTCAGAAGATGTGTGTGTAACACTCATCTGTCCCTTCCATCCTGCTTTATGTCAGTAAGACAAGGGTGGCCATTGGAAGTGGAATACGTGAAAAGGCCAGCTAGCTGCCTTTGGTTATAGGTGTTTTCATTCTGTCCGCCCTGTGAACAGGTCTAATATGGTAAGTAATATTGAGGTTAGGTGTAGTGTACTAGTTAAGGAAGAGAAGTCAATCAATGAAATTGTGAATCTACACCAGTTGAGATGACTAGGACACGTGTTGTTTATATACTGAGCCATCGCCTTCGTCGACGAACAGTGTTAGTTAGCATATTATTATTAGGTTGGAAAAGAGTGAGAGGTGATCAAACCGAAACGACTATCTACTGAGAACCAGTCAAGAAGTGACTTTTCCGCCCTAACACTCAGTGCTATCCCTACACCTGCGAGTCCTCGTGAGCTAGGTGAGGGGTCCCCTGACACCCTTAAAGTGAATTTTGCAGATTCACCTTGTTGACCGGGTGAGGTCAAGTGAATGACCACACTCGGGTCTTGTATGCGTGTCTTCGAAACACAACATACATCCATGGCTCTAGATTCCAGAGTTCTTGCTAGTGATGTCTGTTGTCCGATTTGGCAGAGGGTCCTGATGTTAAAAGCTCCTATATGAAGTTGGCGACGTGGCTTTAAAAGCCTATCTGGGGTGTTTCTATGGCTCTCATCGTCGTTCTTGGTCGCAGAGTGAAGTGAGGATGACTCACTAGTCTGAAGAATAGTGCTTACTGTAGTAGAGAAGCAAGATGAGGAAGGTGATGTGAGTAAGGGAGAGTGATGCTTAGGGAGGCTTCGTGTGCTTCTGGAAGTGTGTGGGCGGTTGTTACTTCCCGGCTGCCCACACCGTGGAAGTTGGTTGAGTCTTCGGGTACCTGAAATAGAGAAAATGTTAGTGTTGTGTGACCGCAGAGCCCAGGGGACAACTGCTTGAGGCCGGTCACACGTGGCCTGTTTTTGTTTGTTCTTTTTCATTTGGTATGTCTCAGTAGCATATTTATCACTTCTGCCCTGTGGCATGGAAGCAGAAAGCGCGGTCGTTGTTAATCCGGGCCCCGACCTATCCGGCATAATATTTTGTGTTTTTGTTTGAGTCATGGCATTGGATTGGGTAGCTGCTTTTTGTCTAACCGCTATCCAAACAACCTTTCTGGCATAGTAGGACCTACAGGAACATAAGTTCCAGCCAGTGTAGCTCGTTGGGTCATTGCGATATACAAGCCCGATCACCACGTCAAGGTAGCAGCTATCGGTCGGGTTGAATATCATCTGTCTTTTCTCAACCTTAGTTTGCTATATGTAGGATATGGCAAGTTGAACGGGTGCACTTCTTTGCAAAATTGTATGCTAGAACTCGGTCAATGTTAGACATTGATGTCCATTAGCTAAATTACTACACTGATCAAATAGTGAAATGCAAATTATGTCATTGTATAAATATATTTTTTATCAAGATTATGTCGGGTTATTCTGCCCAAACTTAATTTGTGTTGTCAGTTAAATAATATTTGAGGAGGTATTGTGTTGTTTTCTTATCAATATGTAATAGGTTGTTTCATGTCAATGCAAGTTGCCTCCTAACCAGGATCCTCTAGCAGATGTTTCATTAGGTTTTAAAGAAAAACAGATAATTTTCATCTGAAGCATTGTGTGCTTTGGTGGCTCACCGATAGAGTGCTGGCCGACTGTGCACGTGGTCTGGGGTTCGAGTCCCGGCCGCCGCACACCTTTACCTCCCTTAACCAGTTATAATCCTGACAAAAAGGGGAGGTTGAGCGTGAGACTAGCAACACCACTGCTATTGAAACTTCAAAGCTAAAGCTTGAAGCCCTATGTTCCAGTGGGAACGTAAAGGAATAAAAAAAATTTTCATAAATGCTTTTCAGTCAATCGTTTTGAGTTACTCTACTTTAATAATAATAATTTGCTTTATTCCAGAAACAGTACTAGTGGTACAGTGTGGAATTTTCAGCACTTGTCTACAATATTTGCATCTAATTTTATCAAACATTTAAAAGGAGTATTTCAAAAAAAAGTAAATATAAAGACACCAACAGCAAAAAACAACAGGAAAAACACAAAATAAATTTTTTAAAATGTGAAAAAATACCAAGAAGTAAAAAGGAAAATAAACAGCATATAATAATAACAACTCAGTATTGGATAGTAGAAGCTATGATATGATTATGCATGGTGACAGTGAAGCTATAGTCATACAAGAAGTTATGAAATGATATTTAAGAATGTTTATCGCCAAGATGATCAGTTAATTTGATTGAACAACACTAAACACTCATAAAATAACATTTCAGGGTTGTTGTTTTGTTTTTTATTGTCAGGTCTAATGCAGTGTTTGTAGTGGTAGTGTGAGTTATCCTGAATAATACAAAATTTTTTAAGGTGGTGATAATGGCGTTCACAACCAATGATTGTCAGTTTAATATTGCCGAAAAGTATAGAAAATAAGAAAAAACAACCACAAAAACTAATAATTACATGATGGTTAATGATAGGAAAATTTTGTACTACTCATAGTGCTAATATAGTCAGAACCAGTAAATGCACAAAAGAAGGAATACAGTAAAGTACAAAAAGGAAACCAATGTTAATAATTTAGGTAGCTAAGTATGTTTGAGAAGGAGTTCACTACAGAAAACAAAATAAGAGAGAAATAAAAGAGCCTAAAATTATGTTGTTAACAACAAAGCAAGTCATAGGTTTCACGCTTAACATTGTCTCTGTCATTTAGAACACGGGCCAAGTATGGTATGGTTGAGTTCCTGTACTTAGTTGTACGAGCATAGATTATTTTATACTGATTTCTGGTTCTACTTGATGAGATACAAGGCGAGAGTTGGGAATAGAGCAGGTGTTGGGGGTCGGAGAGTATGGTTTTAGACCATTTTTCGCATGTATTCAGATGCCTATCAACTAAAGTAGTGACGAGCTGACTGAGTTTCGCACCACTAGTCCTACTAACTACCTTCAACATCCTTCTCAGGATGGTATAGTCCTTTCTCAGTAGCTCAGGAAAGACTGACGGGGAGCAGTAAAGTAGAATAGGTAAGATACAAGAGTTGACAAATTGTGAAAGTAGAGGTTGGGTGATAAGTGAAATAAGAAGTAACCTCTTTCAAGTTTCTAATGTTGACAGTGATTGGCGTTTATGGGTGTTGTTGGCCAGTGATGTTCCTTCATCGCCTCTGTCCTCTGTATATTCACTTGAAGTTCACTCTTCACTGCCTGCCTCTTTCGCCAACTGGTGTGGTGTAAAATAAAATAAATGTCTTCAATTCAAGTAAATATTATTATATCTATTCGCCTGATTAATCCAACGAATGATTGTTCCTTATTCCTATATGTCTTGCCAACACATTTCCCCCCCCCCCCTCCTCGTTCCTCTGAAGCATATCTCACACACTAACAAATCCTGATATTTCTATCCTAAACTAATCGATTTTTTGTTGTTATTATTTCAGGCTACTGATGTAATATTTACGAATCTATCTAATACAGAGGATGAGTTTAATGAAAATGCAGCACTGACAGCGGGAACATTGTTTCATGGTCCATCCGATATTATGTCGACTAGTGGAATATTATTCTCTACTACTTCGAAATTTCACAATATCAATTCTACATGTTGTGACAGTAATAATCCGCTCCTAGCATTCAGTCATAATTCTAGTCATTATTTCTCGAATACCTCGTTATCATACGCCTTACAGTTGACTGGACCTATGCCTGTTAATGTTGCTGTGATAGACGCTTCAATTGAATTATTTGGTCGTTTATTCGCCTGTGTCTCTATTCGTCATCGTATTCAAATGTTAGAGCATTTCGCCGAGTGTATTCGTCTGACAAAGTCAATTCGTCAAGAAGCTGTACAAATCAATGTATTCGCTGGCCTGTTGAGTGCGCTACGATACCTAGCTGAAACGAAACTACCATTCGGTGATGATCCACAGCTTAGAAAAGCGACTACAAATTTAATATTTGTAAGTGATGCCTCTTTCTTTTTTTTTTTTTTTGATTGCATAGTTTTCTTCATCTAACGCCTTTCTCTTTTTTCTCACCCCCACCTCTTCTCGCTTTTTTGTCTTGTTTCAGTTTGCATTAGTGTATATCCATCTCTCAAGTGTCAGCTTGAAATGCGTTACTTAGAGAGATAGAGAAAGGGAGGGATGGAGAACTAGTCTGAAATCTAGAATTTCTCTTCCCTCGTCTCTTTAGTCAACTAGTCAATCAATCAATCAATCGACCAATCGATCAGTAACATGTGATTACTATAGAGAAGAATTTGTAGGCATGCAGGAGAATTTTTCGTAGCTTTAATTGCTTACTATTATACTATTACTTACTTATATCTTGGCATAAAAAGAGGATGGAAATAGATTTCAGAAGTATATTTTTTAGATAGATTAGGAAACTACGATTGGGTTAAATTGCCTTTAATTTTGATTGTCTCTTAAGGCATTTCAGTGGTGGTAGTAGTTTTACTTTCTAAACGTTTGATTGGTTACAAGATTTTGCCACCAGCTGATATCGGTTAGAGGAATATTGGAAAACCAGCAAGGAGTACTGGGCAGTTGTTCCGTCCCAGTTTGGGACTTTTCACCAGCACGCACCCACTGGAGTTCGAACCTAGAACCTTCCGGTTACAAGTTGAGCTCGTAGACCATTAAGCCACTGGGGCCCGATCCAATGACCCATTAAAAACGATTTACACACTTATCACCAGCAGTCTGCTAACATTGATTCTTAACACTCTTAGGACACCAGTCAGCCAGTTTACACCTTCCTACGTAGCTGGCTCGAACCAGTGGTCAAAGACTTTATAGGTTGGTGCTATGTATCAGTCTGACCACCTCCCCTAACTCTTCTCCAACTTGATCATGTATTAGTTAACATTGCTTGTTGAGGGAGCTGAAGACGACTTGAATTGCGTAACACATGTCTGAATTATCTCTCAATCTATGCAGCTGTACAGACATATCGATTGGTTTCCTCTGTGTTTATTTATCTGATTTTTAAACAGTTTAACATCATTTAACTTCGTTTCAACTATAAACTCTTATTAAAAAATATAATATTATGTTTTCTGTCTTGTCCTGTAAACAGGAAGAAAAAAAGAATTAAATTTGTCTAGAAAAATTCACTGTCTATTAATACAATTTTTCAACCATGCAGAAAAATTAATTTAATTTCCAAGTTATGATTTTGCTGGGATTTTGTTTGATTGGTTGGAGGATTTAATCATGATCTGACACCAGTCAGAGAACCACTAGAAAACCAGGGAGTACTGGACAGTGAGCTGTTTCATCCTAGTTTGGGCCTCTGGGACTCCTGGGTTCGAATCCCGGTGGGTGCGTACTGATGAACAGTCCCAAACTAGGAGGGCTAGTTTCGCATATGCCGTCTCTGGCTTAGTAGACGTGATATCCGACTGGCTATCGACCAAAGGGCGTGTGTACTGCTCATCAGTTCGCTTCGTCCTCCTTTATGGCTGTGAGCAAGACCTGGCCATTGAGAGTGGAAGACATGAAAAGATAAGCTGTCTTCGATCATAGGTGTGAATTGGTATAATAAGGTGAGCAATATTGAGGTTAGGTTTCGGTCGAGTGCTAGGTAAGGAGGGGAAGTCAGTCGACGAAACTGTGAAATTACATCGACTGAGATGGTTAGGACATGTGTTACGTATGCACGCCTAGCTATCACCTTCTTCGACAATGGCCAATGTTAGCTGATATAGGATTGGTCAGGCTGGAAAAGAGCTAGCCAGTGGCGGTTAAACGAAAACATGGCTTCACCAGTCAATGAAATCTACAACAGTTAGTTTAAGCCAGCCAGCCACGTAGGAGGGTGTAGACTGGCTTCCTGACTGGTTGGGGTCCTCGGGACGGTAGAAACCAATGAGGGTTGGTGACATGGCTAGCTCAAAATCGTTCTCAGTGGTTGGCGCAGATGCATCCACTCCTTGTGACTTATGATTTCCAATGAAACTGTTTTGTTCTTCGTAATTACTATTCCTTTGTCTCACACCTCTGTTTACTGTCTCTAATATGCATTTCTCGTACTTTCTTCTGTTGCTTTGTGTGATACAAGGAGGGAGTGTGGCGACTTGAACTGCCGTACATCGGTGCAAAGTTCTATGTCGAAAACCGACCGACCGACCGACTCAAACTAGGATGGATTAGTTAGCTGTTCAGTTTTCCCAGGTTTTCCAATGGACCTCTTACTGATATCAACGCATGATGAAATCCCCCAACCCAGTTAATTTCATCAAATACTCCATTGATTAACTCAATACATGTATTATGCTCACTTTGTGTACAAAAGGGTTCCTTGTTATCATCCAGGTAGTTGGATTATTAGAGTTGGAGGGGTGGGGTGGGGTGGTGAGCACTGCACCTAGGAATCATTGATAGCTCCTGCAATGTTAACTGTTTAAATTATTGGGTCACACAGAAAATGTAGTTATATTAGTAGACGAATAGGTATACTATCTTCTCTGTGTGTATACATAAACATAACACTGAAATGGAATCTACGAATATTCCTTCATATTTGTTAGTTCTTTTGGAATTCTATCGTATGAATTGTCTTTTTCTGAGTAGTAGTTGATTAGTGTTGAAGGCATATTGAATCACATCTTATTTTTAAACGATCTATACGCTTCTCCACGGGCACCTTTAACTCATTCGTACCATTGGAGAGTCCTGTGTTGTACAATCATTCTCATATTTTGCATTGTGGAGTTATTTACATTGGATGATGTACTTTATATATGCGTCGGTGGCACAGCGGTTATGACTCTCGCCGATCATGCACATGGTCCGGGGTTCGATCCCCTGCCAACTCACACCTTATATCTATGGTCTGCCTGCAAAATTTGGGCTAACGATATCACATGCTGAAAATTCCATACCTGTACCAAAAATACAGTGTGGAATCAAGCTGCAATCAAAAATTACATAAATAAAAAATAAAAGAATATATATAAGGCCAAATATCAGTTAAATGTTAATTGATACGGCTACTTGAGCGGATGCGTATATTAACACAGTGATCAGGGACAACCACTGGTTCCCGTCTCACAATATGTGGCTCTTTTAGCCTAGTGTATAACACTTAAGCATTTGAAATGTGATGGGTGCTGGGTTCAAGTCTCAATTAGAGCACGATCACTCGCTGGAGATGCAAGTATATATCCATCTGACGTATCTCAAACAGGTTGAAGCGCGTGTCCTGGATTCCACTGCTACTTGTGATATTACGTAAGAGTTTGAGAGAAATGCAAGAGTTATAAAAAGTCAACAAAAAAATTTAGTCGGTAGAAAGCAAACGTCGTTACTATGATAATAGAAGTGTTACAATAACCCTCTTTTCTAGGCATAGCTCTGATTTCTCTATCTGAATGTCTATAGCTTCAACAATGCAGAGGAGACGAAAGCGTATTGTCCTAGGCAGGTTACTTTTCACTTTGTAGATTACTTTGAAGGAAGAGTTTGTTGAGAGAGGATGCCCGTTATCGACCAGGTACTCCTCAATTATCACACTCCTTAAGGAACCATTACAACTTTTTTGCAACCATGAGGGATAGTGTTTTTGAACTTTTTTAGACAGGATACGCGCCGAACAGCGGGATCTTGTCTTTCAGTTTTCTGGTGAACACTACTCCTAGGGTTTTGTTGTGAAGAGTGTTTGCTGAAACTCTTCCCTTAAGGACATCGTCGGTTAGCTCTCGCTTGAAATTTTATTATTATTATTTTATTTCTTAACCTTCCCAGTGGAGCATAGGGCTTCAATCTAGAGCTTTGAAATTTAGTTAGCAGTAGTTTTATTTTTACGGAGTGAGGTTGCCAGTCTCACGCCCAACCTTCCCTCTTAGCTAGCCTTCTAACCAGCTTAACGAGGTTTAGGAGTACATTGGCCGGGAATCGAACCCTGGACCACATACAGTGTTGTTGGCAAGCGTTCTACCGCTAAACCATCGATGCACCCTCGCTTGAGATAATGGTTTTTTTGTTGTTGATACAAATGATGTTTCGTTGTTTCCCTGATTTTTTTAATTTGATTTTCCTCTCAGTACATCTCGATGGGTTCATCATGTTTAAAATGATCTATTTCAGCTTTATATTATAAATTTCTTCCATTCATTCATTCAAATAAATAAATAAACAAATATCAAATATGCAGACTCAGTAGCGCGTCAGTGGCACAGCGGTAGAATGCTCGCCGACCAGTCGTGTGGTCTGGGGTTCGATCCCCGACCGGCCGACACACTCCCTTGCCTCGCTAAGCCAGTAACAGGACCGGTAAAGATGGAAGGTTGGACATGAGGCCTAGCAACTGCATCCCGCGTAAAAATAAAATAAACACCACTGCTACCGAAACTTCAAAGCTCAAGAAGCTTGAAGCCGCCCTATGTTCCACTGGAAACGTACAGGAATGAAAAAAAATGCGGACTCAGTTTGGTGAATAATAAACTGACGAGATGTTCATCCAATAAATTACTGCTATCATGTGGAATTCATGTCGATTAACTAATTATGTCGAATTATTACTATGTTCGTATCCTTACATATATATACATATATATATATATATATATATATACAGAGAGAGAGAGAGAGAGAAAGAAACAACCTCTTTTACCTACCTAGGAAGCATCATTTCAACTACAGGCGCACGGAATTCACGTGGATATCAAAGCAAGACAAGCTTTCACTACTCTCAAGTCTGTGTGCAGGAGGTCAACAGCCCTACTCAGCATCAAAACGAAAATAAGATCCGGATTTTCAACTCCAATGTGAAGTCAGTCAGTGCTACTCACTATACGGATGGATCAGAGACTTGCACTGCACTGCGCGTCATAAACAGCATCTCAAACAAACTACAGACCTTCGTCAACAGCTAGTTGTCTTCGCTCAATACCACTGAAGATGAGATGGCCGGCCAGAAGAGATCATCAACAGAGAGGGATCTCTGGCAATGAGCGAACCAACCAACTCAGCAGGAACCGATTGTGAAACAAATAGGCAGGCAGGAAGAAATGGAGATGGATTGGCTGGTCATACTGTGAGGAAACAAACCATCAAGTGAGTGACATCACTAGACAAGCCATTGGTGGAGTGGCCCTCGACTGAAAGGGAATCGGCGAGTTGGTCGTGAGTGCGAGGGTGGGTGACTTGGAGGAGGTCATGTGAAGAGGAGATGATAGGATGTGGGCGGACTTGGAACCAGGTGGAGACTCTAGCAGGGAACCGAACGCAATGGAGACGTGTGGCTGAAGCCCTATGTTCCTCTAGGAATTAAAGGAAACAATAATAATATGATAATGATATATGGCAACTCATTAGGTATACTACGTCTGTGTTGTGTGCATGCGTGTGTGTGTGTGTGTGTGGATTTTTGTGGATGGATTATAATCTTTTACTAAATCTCTCTGTATTTCACTGTCGAATAAAATAAAACTATATGTAGGCCAATTTTTTCAGTCTAGATTATATGGATATCCGTATCCACAGAATCCTTCCTTGATCAATGGATTACAAAGGAGTATTGTCTACGATGTAAGTGTGTGTAATGGTGATGAAATCAGTGATGATGATGACGATTTGGCCGGTGTAATCACCACTCAAAGGTGTAATGGTTTTTATTTTCTCTTTTGTTTTAATAATAATAATAACACCAACAACAGCAATTTAAGTTCCTATCTTCGATATTCACTTATCACCACCACAACACCTATCATCACCATCAGCTAGCTGACTAAATCTAACCAGCAAAAATGAATTTGTTATTTTAATAAATATTTTCACTTTACGCGCGCATCATAGTTGGTGTTGTTTGTTTCTAATGCGCGCATATATTTTGTCAAGTTTTGCTAACCAAGACCTTCTTTTTGCTTCCTTACTTCCTGCTGTCTCTTTATCTTTCTTCTTCTGTGTGCTAACATTGTTTTTGTTGTTTGTATTGAATTCTTTGGTGTAAATGATAATGTATGTACTGAGACATTTTCGTCTGTTAACTTTAGTTTCTATTATGGATTGACTACTTTTGGCGCAAGGAGATTCATCGTGCTCAAGTTCCTGTAGCAACTTTGTTTACAGGGTGGGGTTGCTAGCCTCACACCTGAGAAGGGGGAATGTTACATTAAATTATAGCTTAGAGAAAAGCGACCTTGTAGGTTGCTCCTCTAAAAACCAGGAAAACAACAAGGAATAAAACCATCAGAACAACACCAGCACAGGGAAATAATTCACAACAAGAAGGGTAACAAGCGACAACAACAATAATAATATCACAGTCAAGTACAGTTAACCAAAATGATACCAAAATCATAGACTCACTGACTTGAACCAACTTGAACATATAAATCCATCAATATATGTACAATTATAGATATTAGTTAGTGTTAAATAAGCACAGAGTGGCAAATAGATAGTTATAGGTATTATCCAACAACAGAGTTTATATCCAAAGATTCAGTGTTTCAAAGGAAAATAATTGCAATAGTTTTTTGCAACTTTTTGGCAAGATATTCCACAAAAATAAGAGTTTCAGGTAACTATGTAAATGTAACGTAGTAATCGAAAAGCGACAACAATCAGCATAAATAGAAGAAACCTGAAAGAAACAACCTCTTTCACCAACCGACCTGGGAAGCATCGTTTCAACTACAGGCCAGCGGAACTGACGAGGATATCAAAGCAGCGAGAATCGGAAAAGGAAGACAAGCTTTCACCACTCTCAAGTCTGTGTGCAGGAGGTCAACAGCCCTACTCAGCATCAAAACGAAGATAAGATCTGGATTTTCAACTCCAATGTGGAGTCAGTCAGTGCTACTCACTATACGGATGGATCAGAGACTTGCACTGCGCGTCATGAAGACCATCTCAAACAAACTACAAACATTCATTAACAGCTAGTCGTCTTCGCTCAATACCACTGAAGATCAGACGGCCGGCCAGAAAAGATCGGAAACAGAGAGGGATCTCTGGCAATGAGCGAACCAACTGAGCAGGAACCGATTGTGAAACAAATAGGCAGGCAGGAAGAAATGGAGATGGATTGGCTGGCCATACTCTGAGGAAACAAACCATCAAGTGAGTGACATCACTAGACAAGCCATTGCTCGAATGGAACCCGACTGAATGGGAATCGGCTAGTTGGTCGTCAGTGGGAGGGTGGGTGTCTTGGAGGAGGTGATGGGAAGAGGAGATGAAAGCGTGTTGGCAGACTTGGAGCTAGGTGAAGACTATAGGAGAGAACCGAACGCAATGGAGACTCACGGCTGAATCCCTATGTTCCTCTAGGAATTGAAGGAAACAATAATAATAATAATAATAATAATAATAATAATAATAATAATAATAATAATAATGGATTAACTTCATCATAGTTGGTCAGTTGTGGCGGTAGAACACACACACGTATTCTTGAACAACAAGTCATTTTCAATTGTTGGTTTGTGGGGATTTGATTGGTTACAGGATTTTCAGCATGACATTAGTTAGAGAACCATTGGAAAACCTGGGAGTACTGGAAGGCTGTTTCCGTCGGCCTAGTTGGGGACTCTTCAGCAGTACGCACCCACCAGGATTCGAACCCAGGACCTTCTGGTTACAAGGTTAGCGAGCTCGTATACCATTAAGCCACTGGGACCCGATCCAATTGCCCATGAATTCTAACTTCTGCCAATTCACGACATAGCGCGACTAGGACGAAACAGCTGTCCAGTACTCCGAGGTTTTCCAGTGGTTCTCTAACTAATGTCAGCTCATGATAAAAAACAAGTCATTTTATTTACATGCATTGGAAGCAGTCTTTTAATTAGTCCAGTGTCTAAATTATCTCCAGACTAACTTTGAAAAACCATTATCTGAAGATGAAGTACTTTCCTTCAAGCATATATGTCTTAGTTTATGCCGTTTTATGGCAGGAATATACAGTGAACTCTGTGGCTCACTGGCTTCAACAGAACATCTCTGCATTTCATCAATTTCTCAGGAGTCTTATTTAGCTGGTTCTGCGATTAACCATAAGCTCTTATCTCCTGCTCACACACGATCTCCTCCATGTCGTCCTCGGACGTCCAATTCATTGCCCGTCCCGCTTCCCTTTCGGATTCCACTCGAGTGTCTGCCTAGTACACGTAAGGTGGTGACTTCAGTGGAAATGCTTTTGGGTGGAGGGACGCGCCAATTCTATCGAGTAATAGTTAGTATTAATGTCATTTATTAAGTGAAGATCTAGTAATTTAAATGACAGTATAACAATTTAGTGTTTCTCAGCGCATGACACATGACAAGACAGACATATCGGTTAATTTATTCATTCACTTGAATTGATTGTGTTTGTGTTCCCGTTTATGCTAATGTTTTGGGTGAGATGATACACATATCTTTTTGTGTGTGTGATAATTTTTTTCTCTTTCATACTGTCTGACGACTGGTAAACTATTTTGCATTTTGTTTAACTGCACTGTGATTTATCATCCATCTGTATTCACCTAACCGTTTTTAGGTTTGCTCTTTTGCGTGAAATCACAGCTATTATATTCTAACCTTGTCTTAGAGTGGTTGTGTGCCTTCACTTGTTTTATAACTTTGCTTATCATGAAATCTTATACATTAACATATCTTGAAAAGTGTCACTCAAATATCACCTATAGGCAGTGAGTGGTTCGGTGGTATAGAATGCTTGCCAGGTTCGATTCCCGGCTGACGTACTCCTAAACATCGCTTATGAGGTGGTAGGTAAGCTCAGTAAAAGAAGAATTTGAGTGTGAGGCTAGCAACCGCACCCTGTAAAACGCAAAACTGAACGCTACTGAACTGCAGCTTGAAGTCGCCATATGTTCCACTAGGAACTCAAAAGAATCAAAAAAGACAATCTTATTTCAGGTTCAGAGGGGTACACACACTGAATACGAACAAAGCATGGAATGACAATCAAACCTCTACCTCAAATTCCTTCATAGACTTTGAGAAGGCCTTCGATAGACAGCGTTGACTGCGAAGTAATTTGGAAACTACTCAACTACTACGGCGTACCCCAAATATTCATCAACCTTATCCAGCAGCTGTACGACAACGCCACATGTCAAGTGATTCCCAACGAAAAACTCAGCGAGGCGTTTGGAGTAAACACAGGAGTCAGACAAGGGTGCTAGCCTATTATCACCAATGATATTCCTAATTGTGGTGGATTGCATTATGCCTCAGGCAGTGGGAAACGAGAAGACAGGGATATCCTAAACTGACGTGAAGAATCTAGAAGACCTGGATTTCGCGTTTGGATGATTTATATATGATGTCACACAAAATCGAAGACTTACAAGCGAAAACCGACAAACTGGTCGAAGAAGCAGCCAGAGAAGACAGGACTGACTCTAGGTGAACATAGACAAGACGGAGGTTATGAAAATAACCAACCAACAACAACAGCAGCAGCAGCAACATCCAGCGCCAATCACCATCAACGGGAGGGATTTGAAAGAGGTTACTTCATTCACTCACTTTACTAGGGAGCATTGTGTCAACTACAGGCAGGTGGAACGGACGAGGATTTCAGTCCAATCGAGAATCGGTAAGGCGAGAAACACATTCATCAACCTGAAACCAATCTGGAAATCTTTCGCTGTCACTCAACTCAACATCAACAACAAAATTCGGATTTTCAATACAAACGTCAGTCAAGTCAGTCAGTTCCCCTATACGGATGGATCAGAAACTTAATGGCGGGTCACAAAGAATGAGTATTTCCAACAGCCTGTTGCACACCTTTATAAACAACTAACTAACTGTCTTCGCTGGCTCTATACTGAAGATCAATCAGATGGCCGGAAAGAACAAGAACCAACAGGAAGCAAACTATGGGAAGAAACAAAACAAACAAGAAGCAATCGCCCAACAAGTAAATATGCAGTAGAAAGTGGAGATGGATTGGACACTCACTGGCTCGCTGAGGAGGCCATTCGCTGGGTGACATCGCGTGTGAGACCAACTCTCGAGTGGAACCCGGAGGGGAAGCGGTGGCGAGTGGGACGTCAGTGGAAGGTTGACATGGAGGAGATCGTGTGAATAGGATTTGAAACAGTATGGATTAACATGGATGTAGGTGAAAAGTAAAGCAGAAGACAGAAGCAAGTGGAGACGTGTAGTTGAAGCCCTATGTGTTCAACTAGGAACCCAAGGGAAGAATAATCATATAATACTCTCTCTCGACTGTTACATATGTTCCTTGAATCAGAGTCATCTGTTTTGTGATTGACTGGACACTAGGCTTTCATCACATAACAATTAATCACTGCTCTCACTAAAATTATGCTCTGCAAGTATATGCATCCTCTCTGGGTTTATAAAAGGATGAGTGGCTTACATTATTATCATCTCTCATATATGTGTACTAAAACTAGTTCACACGCAAGGATAATTTTTTTCCTCTCTCTCTCTCTTCTAGTTCAGCCAATTTATTATCTCAGCATTTAACATTCAAGTGAAATTCTGTTTTTAATTTATTTCTATGTCGGAGGTTAGTTATTTATGTAGATAGGTTGGGTAGTCTT